AAAAGCCTCTATTCCCAGGAGCTCTGTCTCCAAAACACAGTGAAAAGCCAAGCAGAGGTACCCCCCCTGCCCCAGTAGTTTGGGGGCGAGATGTCTCCAATCAACACACAGCTGCAGCAGCAGACCAGTTTGGCTCTGCTGGCAACCAACTGCTGTCACACAGCACCGAACAAAAAACAAAAAGTCAAAGTGTTGGGCACAGAGACCTTTGTGGACATGATGGACTACCCAAGTTGAGGAAGACCTCCTCAGTGAAGCCCCCACCCAGACCAGTACTCTCTCGTCAGCAGCACCACGGCAAGAGCACGCACTCATCCAAGAACACACGAGCACCTTGGTCCTTCCAGGTGACCCAACACACCCCCAAAGGCCAACAGACGGATGAGGCGGGCAGAGCTTCCTCAGGCCAAGGAGATCTGTCCTCCCAGAGTCTCTCTCAGTGGTGGCTTGCTCTTATTGCAAACCTTTGGTATCAGCCCACAGCCAGGGTAAGACAGCAGAGGATGCAAAATCTTGCCCTTCTCCAATGCCCTGTGCGCGCCCAAGGTAGCTCCCACACTGCTGGAGGCGGAAGCAGACTGCTGCGGGCTCATGCTGTTATCTCCTCTTGGCAAGAGAGCTGCACTGATAAATCTCTCGCTGGTTATTCATTAACTGCAAGAGGTTTGTTCCCAAGATGGAGAAAACACCACCATTGATTTAAAATAGAAAAAAATAAAATGATAGTCGCCAGTGAGGGACACCCGTTCCGGGTGAGCTCTCCATGATGGGAGACCAGCATGGTCAGAAGCACAAGGGCTCAAACTGTAACTGCCCTGATTCAGAACAACTAGGGAAAAGGGGGAGCATTTGTACTTAAAAAAAAAAAAAAATTAGCCCCAAACTTTTTGGGCAGGTTGGAAAAGAGCTCCCACTGCACCCCAGAGAGCTTGTGCCAGCTGGTCTGAGGCCAGACCCGCAGACCTATTGTCATTTTTCTCCAGGCTTGCACTTGCCAGCTGCAGAGCAAGCACGGGAAGCAGGCAGAGCGCAGTATTTCAATCCCAGGGGTGCTCAGCTGAGCACTGGGAACCCCTGCACAGGGGAAGGGCTCGAGGCAGGCAGCGCTGCCAGCACGGGCACAGCACCCTCTGCCGTGACACAACCGACCGACACTGGGCACACCAGCAGCACGAAGGGCAGGGTCGCACATCCACCTCCGTCTCTCCTGACAAGGCAATCGAGGTTCAGTTGAGCCTCGCTGACAACTTTAACAGGATACAAACCAACCCACAAAAGCCTTTCAAGGGAGCTCTGTTAGCGGAAGAACAGCAACGTAAGTGGAGATGCCTGAAAAGGCAGGGAAATTCAAATGCTGTCAGAGGAGCAAGTGGTTTCAGAGCAACACCCGCAGGCTACGTCGGCCTCCGCTGCATGACCTGCATCTTTCTATACACACCAGCTCTGACCTGCGCTCTTCCTCTCCTATATCGCTACACACCGCTCTTCCACTTGGAGTTTTCCAAGTTTTTCCACACACTGAGGCAGCCTGACCTAGCTCCTGCTCCCTTTGTACTACCCTGGCCTCATACAGCAAGCGAGCATCACTAGCTGCGAGTAGCACCCCAATTTTCTCTATTGTACTGTTAATTGAAAGCACTAATTTAACCTGCAAAGCACCAAGAGCTAGAGACACCATCCAGCTAGAAATCCTTCCATACATAAATTGGTTTTATTTCCCTGAACACTGTTCCCAAGAAAAATCAGTTGGTCAAGTAAGGTTTCGTCTATCACGACTGACCAGACCATCACCTCTTCTGAGAAGCATAGTCTAATTAAAAAACCTTTCATGGCATGACTTTTTAAAATATGCTTTCTGTACAGTCACCTTCAGATCACTGTTTCTTAATTTCTTCTTCTCTTTTCTAACTGAGGTACAACCTAGCATCCGTGAAAAAAAAAAAAAAAAAAAAAAACGAACTGGTTTGTGCAATGCTTGTTTCCATTTACAAGTAATGAACATTTAGTTCACAGCTTTAACTACTTATGTATTTCCATTAGTTTTCACTCATTTTCTTTGCTTGCTGGGGAATGCACCAGTCTGGCTCACAAAACGTTTGAATATTTGTTTTCTGGTGCAGTTCTGAATGCTTTATGGCCAATGGGTTGAAAAATACTTTTCTCAATAAGCTATAAATTTCTCCTATGGCCACCAACATACTAAACAGCCAGAATGTCTTGGAAATAGCAACTCCATCCCTAGCTACATTCAATAGCTAAGGGTTTTAATAGTAAAACAGATTTTAAAGCAACATCCACCATGCCTGCTGTGTACACATTCATATATTTTTCTCCTTAGTAACTGTATTAAAACAGTCACTCCTAAGCATGGATTATTTTATGTTTATACAAGGGTAGTATCCAGAGTTTTATGTTCTCTTTTCCCCATGAGAGGAAGTGTTTACAGAAGAGGCAATATTCTTTTATGAGACTGATATAGTTACGGGTAGGAAAAAAAAAAAAAAAAAAAAAAGAAAAAAAAACACAAAACAAAAACCAAAGCATTAGGCGAGCACTTATACATACCAGCACTTTTTATAGGCATTTTTATAGGAACTCAGTAGTTCAGCCACCTTTGAGCTCTTAATTCCCTGATAGTACTTGGCCTCTTCAGGAGCGACCATAAAAACTATTCCATGCAGCCATTAATAGGATTACTTTCTTCCAGGCATTCCTGTTCCTGCCTGTATTTCTCACGGCTGGTCAGAAAGCTCCTGTCCCTCTCCTGACGCTGTTCCACTGGCTCCCCTTTCTCTCCTCTCCAACCCTGTAAGCCACAAGTCCTGCTTCTCCCCCTCCCCAAATCCGAGTTACTACGGCATTGTTCAGCCGCAGCAGCTGAACCCCAGGCACCGAGATCCCGCTTTACAAACCTACAGAGACGTGTCCTCATCCTGGGGGGCACTTCCTGCCAGGCTTCTGGGAAACTCTCACTATCCCGTTTGAACTCGCCTCCTCTGCAGAACCTTGCTATTTTTCTATAGCGCAGACTTCTGCGCTATTCTTGCTCACACTCAGTCCTCCTCTTCTCTCCCTGCCATCTCCTCACACCCTTCCAATGAGTCCCTTGTAATCAAGTGCCTTTGTTTGCACTAATGTCGCTCCTTTCGTATGGCATGTTGAATTCCAGTACGTGGCAACTCAAAGCATCGAGTTTCTTCCTTAACTCTCTTCCCCACCAAAGAGGAGAGGTTGCTAGAGCTGAGGCTCCTGCAGTTTCCACCCTTGGCTGCACAGGGCCAAGCTGGAGCTCACAACTGTTGCACAGGGAGTCAGGGCGTAGAAGGGTCAAGCTGATCTCAAGGGACAGAGATGCTCCCCAAAGCACTTTTCCCCCAATCCAAAGGCCGAGATCCAGAACTGACAGAGCTAGCGAGGTGACCATCAGCCCCAGTGGCAGCTAAATTGTTCCCCAGAGCCCTCCAGCGAGTTGTAGTGATGCACCACCACCATATTCCTCATCCCTCTGCAACCAGAGAGCACAGTGCAGTTTCTTCCAACTCTCAAACTCATGCACAATCCTGTAAGGCATAACCCTCAGGCAAATCGCAACTAGCATTCTCCAGTTCAGACTTGGGAACGGTCACATACACCAGTCATGCTTCTACATCCATTTTATACACAGTGCCATACAATATACAGAAACTTTTATATACATATATCTTTATATAATATGCTATATTAATCTGTATCTTTCTTTACAGCAATATTAGTTTGGATCTTTCATACATAGGTACAAAAAGTCATGTAAGAATGGCACATGAGGAGTGCTTTAGTTTCCTTGTAGTCTTCATGCTGGGGCAGCTCGGAGCAGGGATTCGGAGGGCAGCATTCCCGGGATGGGCAGTGACTCTTGGTTGAGCATGGGCACACAGGATCCTGGGCTGTCTCTCCCCTGATTGCATATGCAAGTGCTCTAAGCCCTGCAAGAGGCAGTCAGAGCAGCTCAGAGCTCCCTAGAAGGACTTTTTACTCCCATAAACGCAAAAGGCTTTAGCTATAAAGAGGCAATTGGGGTCAAAGAGTTAATTCATAGCTACCCTACCCTGAGCTGCCCCAGCACATGCTGTGAGATAGGTGACAGCAGCAGGCAGAAGGGCTTTTCCATAGAGGCATTGGTGTCCGCTGGCAGAGAAGCGGGAGGCAAGGGAGTTACTGTATGCCGTTGCTGCGTGGAGCCCCCACCAGCAGACAGCTCCTGTCGCATGGAGACCATCCAGCTGGGCTCTACTCAACACAGCTGGCACTAAAAAGCACAAAAAGATGAGAAAAGAAATAGTTTCTGCCAGTTCCTGGGGTCTTGCTGGCCCCTGCTCGTTCACAGCCGTAAGGGAGGACAGGCCAGGCTGGTGGCTGTCACGGCAGGACACCGGAGCAGGCAGCGGAGCCAAAGGAAAGGGTCTTGCAGGGCAGAGCGCTCCTCTCCTGCTGCCCCATGCACAGGCAGGGAGGTACAAACCCATCACCAATAATCCCTGTGTTGACATTAGTAATTAAGTTTATCGCTAGGACAGGAGCTTGAGACTATTCCCCGGACATCACCTCTTCAGTCAGCTGCAGCATTTACGGAGGGAAAAAGCTGGGAAGCTGTAGCCTCAGGAGCTGCAGATGATGCCACTTTGCCACCAGACAGTGGCCACCAGCAAGTGCTGGGGATACACTGGTGATGGAGTGAAGACCCAAAAAGGTGTCGTGGCAGTGGTCTAGCAAACGCCCGGCAATGCGATCGCTTTGCGCACACAACATCCCCGAAGCAGCGCCCCAGGACAGGCCGGAGCGTGCAGGACACGTGCCGCCAAGCCAGCCGGAGCGCCGAGGGCTGCAAGAGCTGCTCTGGACTGCTCCCTCCTCCGGGCACTGCCACGCACACCACGTACCGCTGACTCTGAGCCATCAGAACTGCACAAAGCCCTCGATGGGAAGCAGGGCAGTGGAATCCCAGTAAAAAACAGAATGAAGGCTTGTTCCTGTGGCTGCTCTGTGTTTAATGTTTTTGCAGAAAGAAGTAAGTAGCCAGGGAGAGGTCCCCCTCATCATACAGATAGACTGGGCAGGTAGGAAACTTCAGTAAAATGAAAAACAAAGCACGGGATGACATGGTGAAGTCAGAGGTCTCAAACACAGCAATGAAAGCAGCAAAAATGCCCAACTCTCTAAAAGGAGAGCTTACCTTTGGAAGATGGCTGTTCCAGAGCCAGTGAGAGAAATGTCAGTAAATCAAAACCACAGCAGACACTTCAGAATATGTTAAGACCCTTTCAGCATAAGCTCTTGCAAAAACAGAGTCAGATCTTGAAGAGTAGGAAGTTTTACTCGCTAGTAGACCTGAGAGGAAGTTTTGCTTAGGAACAGAACCTGTTAAACACTGATTGAGGTCATGTACACCAAAAGGTAAGAAGTGGTAGGAAGTCTTCCCTTCCTACTACACAGAAACACTCGCTTTGCACAAGATGAGGTTCTAGATTGGAGTGGGCTGGCAGGGTAACCGTGGTCTGGGTTCGAGGAAACAGCCTGCCCCAGGTCAGGCTTTGCTATTGGCACTTGGATACAACCTGAGGCGGCAGGAGACAGTGCGGAAATCTGGCAAGTCCTAGCTGAGGCAGAAAGAGGGAGCCCGGCAGCAAGGGCAACTCTGAACCAGTCCTTGGCCACACTGCATTCCCCTTCATGCACACAGAGAAGAAATCACATGCAGGAGCAGGAAAGGAAGCTGGCAGATGTCTGGTCCCAAGCAGGAGGCTTGGACCTCAAGCCAAAGGAAAACAAAGGCACAACAGGTATGAACTCAAGAAAATCAGCAAAAAAAAGAAAACAACAATAACAGAGAGAGCAAAGAGCTTGGAGATGACTGATGCTTTTTAGGACTGCAAGTCCCTACGACAAAGCAAGGATATGCTCTTTCCTGGATCATTTTGAATTTCCAGGGTGCGTGCCCTTAAGCAGCCTACGTTTAGGCTAGTAACACCCTCCCGCACAGAGCGTAACAGCTCTCGGGGAAGGGCTGGGTGCAGATACAATCAGGGGACGGGGAAGAAAGAAGCGCAGTGGAAGTTTGGCAGTTTGCAGTGCTCCTGCCACACAAGGAAGCCAACAGCCTCGCTGCTCTGCAGAACACGCTGCCCTCCGCACAGCGGGCTGCTGTTATACAGTGAGGGATCTCCCTCCTAAAATGTTTTTCCACTCTAATGACATAGAGTTTACAAAAGTGATAGGGTTTAGGTTTCAGGCTCTGTCTGCCACAGATCTAACACCCACTCATCTTGGCAGTGAAGGCCCTGACTCGTAGAGCTGGAATATAAAACTCTAAAGCAAATAAACCACAGCCCCCCTCCCAGCTTGTCCCTGCAGAGTCTCACTGCAAGGGGTAGTAGCTCCTCCCTTGAGGGGAACAGAGCACACACACAGCCCCTGTGGAGCTGGCAAGGGGGGGAAGGACTTCAGCAAACGCCGATACAGCCTATTTCACACACCTCTCACACCTGACCACAGCACCAGTATGACCATCTGACTGGAGAGCAAGCAGCTCCCAGACTGGGTCCCACCTCCCAGCTCCAGTCTTTCTTTCTCTCATTCTTCCCAGAGCTGTCAAGAGCAGTGAGTGTTTGCCTCCAGCGACATGGAGCATCGCCTCCTCCACACAAGAGCACCATGAGAGGGAGCTTTGGCACAAGAGATGCAGCTCTTCCCTAAATCCTGCGCTGCAACTCAGTACCGCACAGGCTCCGAGAAGATGCAACACACCCGATTCAGACAGTGCTTTCCAATGCCTCAGAGCCATATATTCCTTCATCCAGAGCATCAGAGCAGTCTGTGCAGAACCCCTGCTCAATTTCTGACCCTCACTTTCCTTAGGCAGGCTAAAAAGGCACCAGGTATGCTGCAAGCAAGAAAGAAGCTGACATTTCACAGCTAAGAAACAACCACCATCCCTCCTAAATCTTAGTTTTTCCACCAAGCTTTCAGGTTCAGTGCATTAGATATTTGACCCATTTATTTTTTTTACTTCCCTGTACTTCATTAATTCATTACTTTTGCTGCTACAGAACTCCTAATGAGGGAGCACTTAGCCAACAAATACCTACTCACCCTATGCTCTTCCAACTAGAAAGAGGATTGCAGAGATTGTCTACATACTTCCTAAAGTGCAGAGAAGCTCTGTGAGAGTCTGTTGGCAGCAGCATAATTAAATAACAGCTCTCAGCAAAAATCCAGCTTTAGCAGGGTGAATTTAAATAGAAGGGATGACAAACAAGTGACAGCATAGAAGGATTGCCAGCAAAAGCCATCTCAGACTTCAGCTGTCTGAGCAGAAAGGAACAAATGTAATGCTACAGATGAGAGGACAGCTGAAGGAGCTTTTAAGCAAAAAGCAAAGCTGCTAGGTTTGTTGAGGGCTAGAGGTTATTTTAAGTGTCTGCCAGTATTTCTGCATTACATTTGAAGACTTATAAACCACTTTATCAGCAAATTACCAACCTGCGTGGCTTAAGATGCTCCACAGGCAGCAGATGCAACCACCACACTTAAATAAATGGAAATCAAATGCTACTGCTACCCTTGCTGAAAAGGCAAAAAGTCCCCCTGCTGCCAAGGGAAGCGTAGCCCAGCGGTGGGTACGCATAAGCACGAAGTGAACCCAGCATCAAGCAGAGCTCCAGCTCAGCCGAGTCCCAAGGCAAACACAGAAGGGCTTCTGTGACCACGGAAATGCAAGAAGGTAGGCTAGAATGCTCTCCAGCATCACTGTTCTGTTGGGATTTAGAGGTGGGCCACATCGACGAGGATGGGCAGTGCTTATGGGGGCACATGGCAACCACTCACCAGCAGAAACAAGCAGCTGGCAGCTCAGTAGCTGAACTTTAAGCCACTCTCAATTTCACTGCATCTGAAAAGCCAGTCGTTCAGGTTGTAAAGGAACCCAAGCACAGCTTGCATAGGTAATATCCTGTTCTGCTAGGAGAAAGATCTAACAGCTATCCTAAGAAAGGGACAAGCATCAGCACGCCAATACAATGGCGAATGACAAAGCACGTGTATTTGGGGCTAGCCAGAACTGATGCTCCTTCTCCCAATCCTCCCTGTCGGGATATAGCCACAAAAGCGAAACTCGAAACACATCAACACGTGCATTTCAGCAATGATTAACCCCAACTAATCGCCACTGCAAAGGATAATCCTGATTATTCATATGCCCCAATTTGTAAATTAAACCGGCTATCTGTGCAGACAATTCAGTGAAAATATTGGTCTTTGCCTGCAGGCAGATAAAAAAGCTGAAAAAAAACATTTAAGTGCATTAAAAAAATATATTGGAAGAGGCCATTTTACAAATCAACAGGATGCTCTCAAACATGTACAGATCTCATTGTCCCATCTAAAAACAGGATACAGGAAGGATAAAAATTAATTTAAAAGTGTGAAGCAGTAATAACCAGAAACATGGAAAAGCTTTATAGGGAGAGCATTAAGACTGGGGTCCACATGAATCTAGAGCAGTGAAAAAAATGAGAGACACCTGATAAAGAAACAAAATCACTTAAGATATTAAGGGAAGGTTTAAAAACCCCTCTTAATTGGGCTTGGATTACAAACAGTGAAACTGAGCAGAGGGGAACCTTATTAGGAGATGATATTTGAAAAAGCAATGCCATATTCATCCAGTTTGCTGCGCTTGATACAGATCAGCCCTGTTCTGTTTCTTTTGATAGAGACAGGACACGGCAACAAGTCAGACTCCCACAGCAGATGCAGCTCCAAGGAGCACACACGGATCCTGCATCCCCGTGCTCGGTGCTTTTCCTCCTCCTTACATGCCCCTGACAGCAATACCTACTTCCCACCTCAATCCTGTTCCTGTCTGGGACCTTCAGCTGTTATTGCAATCTCAGCAATTATGCCCATAAAGTACAGAAATGGGTGTCGCTGGATTTGTGTATCTACCCTCACAACCAGCTTTGCCATCTCAGTCCTCTGTAGACAGCAAAGTATCACATACAACTCCTGTTCACTTTGAAAAAAGTTCTTAAAAAGTTGCAGAAATTATGATGAACACTGAAAATACTAACCACAGACCAGGTAAGCAAAAGTTGGAGATAGCTAAAGAAATTCTCAGCCTTGACAGTGCTTTGACCTTTCTAAATAGTCTCAGAGGGCAGCAGCTCTTTCAAGTGAATCAAGACAGGAATCCCATTCAGCTGTTTTGGGTCATCAGGAGATCATCAATAGCTTTCCTGTGCCTCAGTGGTGCTATCAAGGATGTGGAATAGGACACCGGCATCCTGAGACAGAGTAACAAGAAGAGAGGTAAGATGGCTCGTGATTAGGTGACAAGAACAGGGAGCAAAGAAAATAAAGGATAGAGTGGCAGTTTCAGGAGACGTGCGTGTTCCAGATGGAGAGGGCAGCTCCTGAGAGGAAGAGAGGGGATAATGATAAGTATTGGAGAAGGGCTTGCTTTTTGTTCAGCACTTGTACATCCTCAGCACAGCAGGATCCTGTCTAAGTTCTTGGCACTGCTGCAATTAAAGCAACAATAAAAGCAATTATTACTGATGCCGAAGAGCTTCCAAAACCACAGCCAGCCAACATTACGTGGTAAGGCCTTGACGATCAAAACTCACTGGGATATTATCAATGGGATTATTTTATTCCACTTTGGACACACCCGAAAGGACTGGAGTGCAGTTTATAGGTGCAAGAAATGGACAGCAGTACCAAATCCTTCACACCTCGTGAGCGCATTCGCGGCAGGGTCAGAGGCCGCTCCTAACTAAGCTGTTGGATGACATTCAACTCTTACCAATTTAAGGGCCCCCCATGATGCCCCTGAACGCTTCAAGGCTTCGGGGTTACATTCTGCTGCAGTCTGCTGAAAATACCATGAACGAGCGTGCAACAGCAAGTGCCAATTACACAGTCAGCTGAAATCTGCCGCACCAGGGGATGGTAGAAAGAGCAGAGAACCTGCTAGATTCTGGCAAAGCTGCATTAGTGTAGAGGATTTCACTTACTGTGCTTCAATTTGAAGGTGCACAAAGCCCACTCTTTGCTCTCCAGGAACTGTATGGCCTTGGCTGCACTCCTCTACCAAAAAACTCTTCGGGGGGGATTTTAAGGATGAGTCATTGAACTGGGTGAATTGTTGGATGCTTTGCTGGGGCCTGGGGTGTCAGGCACGATGAACTGCGCTTCCAGCACTGCCTCCACATGAGGTGCAACATCCCATTGAAATATTGAGGAACGTATCAAGATTAGAAGGCACAACGCTTAAGAGTAGGAACCAGAAGCAAAGAGATTAAGAAATCTGAAGATGCTTCATGTTTCCGAAGACAGCTGCACATCAGAGTGGAGTGAGGGCAGAGAAAGTAGGCAAGAGGGCAGTACAAATGCAGGAGGTAGCTACAGGCTTAGCATTCATTTTAACTTTCTAGATATGCTCTTCCAGGATGAAATAGGAGATCAGCCTGTCCAAATGCTCTTACAGCAAAGGAGCGATGAGAATCAAGACACAGAGAGACATTTAAAGCAGAAATAATGCCAAGAACGTGGATTTACTTTGTGAAGACTGGGAACAGATCCGTCATCAAGAGAGAACACTAGAAAACAGGAATTACCCATAATGTGATATAACAAGAACCTTAACTGAGAGGGCTCTTTTGCACCTTTACTACGGCAAGTCCAGGTCACAAGGATTAGGTATTTCCAGGCTTTTCAGAAGAAGCCCAATAATCACAGAGCACAAAGCAAAAAAATGCAGCATGCCAGGCTGTTTCCTGCCACAGCCGGTCAGGGCAAAGCAACCCCATTCCCCTGGGACACAGTTCCAATGGCACAGAGAAGGAAAGAGTCATGCACAACGATCATGTCTTCCAGGACATAGCGGAGGTTCACCCGGGTCAGAAGTGGCTTTCTAGTGCAATATTGCGACCCATTAAACATCAGCAGGCCACTACTGAAACAATTTTTACTTAAGATGGAGATAATCCACCTTCCTCACCTGGAGTCATCTCCCCACCATCCTCGGGTAGGGCACCAGTAGTACCACATAGTCTCAGACACACCCAATCTCCTAACACCTCACTGCCAGGGACAGAGATGATTCTTTCAGTAATGTTTGTAAAGTGCTTTGCAGATATAAAGCTCTGCCTAAGTGCTAAGTGTTATTACTACCCATCTTCTGCCGACGATTAAAGGCAGAAATGAACTCCTTTTCCCCACCCCACCGACATGTGCCAGCAGTCTGCATCAGGAGGTGAGCTAGCCTGCTAGCCACAGCCTCCCTACCCTGCAGTTCCCCTTTCCCCCTCAAAACTACCCAGTTTATTGTGCGTATTCCTGGATGCTACCTTTTTTTGAGCGTTTCTTGGGTGTGTGCGGCAATTCAGCTTTACCCTGTGACCCTGCAACAGTGGATGACCTGAGGGCACTTATGCAGCTGTTCTATACGAGCTCCTGAATCATACAAGCTCTCAGCAAGGGGAACAACACTGCTCTTTTCTGAAGGACCTACAAAGAAAAAAGTAACTCTCGCTGCCTAGAATGAAAGCATTTTTTTCTTTTACAAATTACTTTGAATTCAGAGGGGCTTCTTCCCTCCAATCCAAGACAGTGTAGAAAAGGTCACCTTTGGAACCTAAACCCAGAGACAGTATTTTACTGCCCGTTTAACAAAGCCCCTGCACTTCTGAAGGCCCTGTTATTTGTAAGGAGCGGGGGACACAGTACCCCACACTAAATCGTTGAGTGGGAGAGCGGCTCTTGGACACAAAGTCCAGTTCACTTCTGTGCACCTGAAGTCATTCAACATCAATGCACACTGGTTATAAAGTGCTCTCATTCTGACTCGATGGTACCCGACACCACTTGTGCTCTGTTTGCGTGGCACCCAGGACAGCACAGTCCCATGCCTGGTGCTTCCAGAGACTACTCAAGGAACACAGCTAGAGGCTAGGGATAACAGGAACGGAGGGATTTGTCATGAGCAAAGTTCCTGGGAAGCCCAGCATCCTCCCACAATGGAAATATCAGAGCTAAGGAGGGAAAAGGAAGGCAATAACATCTCTGGGATTATAAGGAAGTTAAAATAGGAAATTCTTTTCCAGTAAGGGAGGACAAAGCTCCAGTGAGACCATTTGGTAACTCTGCTGAACTTTGATATGAAGGTGTTTTGTCAATTAAAGGCCTTCTACAGGTCACAGCATGTTTGACTTTCTAGATAGGTAGTTTCTCTCCTGCTCCCATCATCGAAAAGTGCCTGCCTAGATAAGTCTAGCAGGCTCCTCCGGGCACTGAGGCTCTGCACAGCAGTGCTCAGGTAGCTTTACTCGTGACTTGGTCAAGCTTTGCAATGTGGTGTTGGCAGATGAGGGAGGGTGGGCAAGGGATGCATGCAGGTTACCCCGGACTCCGACCCACTTTAAAAGCAGGGGACTCGCAGTCATACCTGCCCATCCTCTCTCCCCTCAGTCCCCAGAGGGAACAGCACAGGAAGGAGAGAATGAACATGCTTTTTGCTTAGGGAAAGCCTCCCTGTTTGCTTAATAAATACCTTCCAAAAAGCTTAGCAGCTCTGTAAACATACAAGAGATTTCAATACTTAGTAAAAGTTCATCTTTTCCCTGAACTCCCAATGACAGAGGCTGGCACTGATCTGCAATTACTGTATACGAGCGGTGTGAGGACTCAGCAGAGTCCAGGAGAGGCTCCCAGGCTCTGCAGGGGCCTGGCAGATAACGCTGGGTGTTGAGGAGCCTGTTAAATTCTTAAGCTGATCCATCCATGCAGCTCTGAGATGAGAATCCTGTCAGTCCTGCAGGAATGTCGCCAGCTCAGAGTGGTCCAGCGAACTGAGGAGTGACAATGGTGACGTCCAGGACTCTTTCTGGCAAAGGAGGGACGTGGCTGAGGGCTTTGGCTCTTCAGAGCAGTGTCCTTCCCCCTCGGAAGCAGCCTGGTGGTCACTGAAGTACTCAGGGGAGAGAAAAAACAGTGCCAGCCCCATTCTTGCTGTGCCTGGCCAGGGGAGGGGAGACTGCATTTGGGGATAATACAGCCCCAATGGCTTTAAAACAGGAGAGTGTCCTACAAAAGCAATCTCCATGGAAGTGTGACGAATTGGAGCTTGGGCCAGATCCGACATGGTAGTGCAATAGGGCCCAAAGTCTCAATCCGCTTATTTCCAAAACCACTGACATGGTACCAAGCGGGGGGATCTGGCCTGGCCCCCTTGCCTCTGTCTATCAAATCCTCGAGCTTCAGAGAATCCAGCCCTTCACCCCTGAGGATTCCCTGAAGCGGGGTATCTCACTCCCAAACTCAGCAGGTGCCCTGGGGCGAGGAATTTGCCTCTGAAATGAAATGAGAGACGGGCTGAGGTAGGGAACTTGCATCTACCTTTAATGACTCAGACCCTCTTAGCATAGCAACCTCGTGAGGTGATGCTTCTTCTCCCAGCTGCAAGCATGGGACTCAAGCACAATCCATCCTCCAGACACCAGTGTGCCACACCACTGTGTCACCCCAGAAGGAACATTTCCAGCTGTCTCCTCTGATCCGAACTGCCCGATGACCATCTCCTCCAAATATTATCCCAGCACTCAGCCTACGGGATCAGCTCGCAGAGCCGCACCCCTTTACCCTGCACTAGAGGGCTGAAATCATGAGGTCGTCCTGCTTGGCAGGGCTGGTTACATGCCCAGAGGGAGTGGAAGTCCGGATTTTGTCAGTGGCCAGGCACTCCTGGCTGCTCACGCCTGTGGGAGTGATGTCCATGAGTTCCCCAGATGAACTAAGAGGGAAAGAGGGTGAGACAGAGATGCCCGACGAAGGATCTGTTGAGCCTGCAAACAACCTCGGGGGCTTTGGGACTAGGTTGGGTTCATATTGTGCCCTCAACAGGATCTCCTGATCACTGACAGACTTGGGCATCTCTGCAAAGTCACTGGAGCTGTCTGACACCATCATGCAGTAGATGTCCTGGAAGGAGCTGCTTTTGCTATCCAAATTAAAGAGGCTGTCTATGAACTCAGCAAACTCCAGCACTTGGGGACTGGGAACATCAGAGAGCCGTCCATTCTGGAGGGCCAGCTCCTCACGAGGGGTTAAGGAAACGCGGTCCCCCTCGCTGCTGGCCCCCTCCTCGCTGCAGCGTCGCTGCGGGGTAGTGCCACCGCTGTTGAGCACGTTGTCGGGGGGCTGAGTCTCCTGGGAGTGCTTGGAGAGGCTATCAGCAGCCAGCAGCTCTGTCCGCGAGCTGAGGGAGGGGTTCTCCTCAGGGATAACAGGGTCTATATAAAAGCAGTGCGTCTCATCCTTCTCCATGACAGCATGGAGGCTGGGGGAGCCCCGGATGCTCCGGAAACCAGAGGAGCGCCTTGAATCAAAGCTGTAGATGGATTCATTGTCCGAGAGGCTCTCCATGGTTGCAAGAGGGGCACGACGGTCCTGCAGCTCCACAGACAGGCGCTCCTTTGTATCCAGGAGAAGCAGCTCCACGGGGTCTTTCTGCACAGGAGAAAGTGGCTTTGTCTCATAAAACCCCTCCAAGCTAATTTCAGAATGGGACTTGCTCCTGCAAAGAGAAACAGACAACGTGAGGCTGCATCACCCCCCAGATCCGCCAGAGGAGCCAAGTCTTGGGCACAGAGTTCCTCAGACACACCGAGGGCACAGGTCATTGCTCTAACCAGAGCCATCCACAACTGCAAGAAGCCTCTTATCTCTCAGTCCTCCCAGCTGAAAATTTTAGGTGCAGTTTCTTCCCTTTCCAAACTGAGGTTCTTGCCCTTCTCCCTCTTCTCCCAGCTAAGCAGCTTCCCTCTCAAGCACCATTTTCACTTCGGGCCATGGTTCTGCTCCCAGTGAAACTCGCTTCTAACTGAAGCACCCAAAACCATGGTGCAGTCTCGAGCCATGCAGGCAAACCCCTCTCTCACCCAACACCTCTTTATTAGAGAGGATTGAGGCAAGAGAGGTTGAAGGACTAGCCTACAATTAACCTGCTATTTTTCTTTCTCCTCACACTCTGGAACCACTCCAGTTTCATGCCTTCCCCTCCTTCTCCATGCTGGCTATCCCTACCTTACTACTACAAATGCCAGGATGCTTCTAGAGCATTACCCATGACACATTCAGCTACTATTTCAGGCAACAGACTTTAAAATAGGTAAAAAAGCAATTTATTCAGCTTAAGACAAGTAGAGATCTTTAGAAAGACTCCAGTCACACTAAGAGTTTAAAGAATCAAGCAGGCTCCTCCAGAAAGACACCGTGTCAAAGGCACACGGAAGGAGCTCCCCACACCAGACACACGTAAAACCTGGGATTAGCTGCAGCCAAAGCAACAGCCCTAAAGGGAAGGAATTAAGGAAATATCTGGGAAAAGAGCTTGAGCTTGGGAGAGGACTGCTGCACCTGCCAAAAGGACATGATGTATAGGGAAAGGCTTAGAAGTTAGGCCAATATTCAATCCCTTTATAACTTCAATAGAATAAGAGTGATCTGAAAACAGGATTCAAGAACCCCAAAAGAGGGATACTGCCAGTAAGCTGGCCCTAACTTTGAATTAAACACAACTGATCCACAACTGTCCCCACTCTAGCACCTCCCTTAAGCCCCTCTGTCCTCTCCCTCGTTCCCTTCCCTTTCATCTCTCAGAACTCCCCCTCTCCTCAAAGGGAAGCAGCTCCTCGGGTCTGCTCTGGCTATGGCACGGAAACCACTGCTCGACCTAGCTCCTCTTCTCAGTCTCACTGTAGCCTTCACAAACGTGGGCAGATCCTTGTTCCTGCTGTTTCTTTACAGCTGCAGTTCTGTTTCTAAGGTCTCCTTCACTGGCTCAGACCATTCATTCACTCTGTGACAAGAACCTTACTATTTTCATATTATTTGCCGTCTGTCTTCTAAATTTAAATCTCACTAGTGTTATCTCAAGGATACTCAGCTGTCCATCACTCAGCACAGACCATCTCACCCTGCCTCTTCCCACACACACACAGCTTCTTGTTGGGTCTCTCTACCTGAGATCTCCACAGAAATGCTTCCCTTGCAAAGGAATAATCCTCCCCCACCCACAATGCTGTCTTCTGTTTCCACTCATAACTCCCATTTGGTGTCTCTGACTACAAACCATCTTCCTTTTCATCTTCCCTGTTTTGTCTGCAAATTTGCCCTATAAAATAAAATTCTGTGACTGAAGTCATGAGTTCTAACTTTGAAACAATTCTTTGACCACATTTTTATATTTACTTTCTTTGCTTCTTTCAAGTCTGTGGTCCTGCAATGCCTCAAGTGTTATCTGAAAATCTGCAAGGAGTCCCTCTGCCATTTGCTCCTGGAGGAAAGCTGTTAACGTTCACCACAAAGAACGAGCTCTTCTCCAAACCACCCCTTTGTCTACCTTCCCGATGTTCCTCCACCTTTTGGCCTTTGCCAGACGACAGATGTCAGTGCTCAGTGATGGTCCAGTTTTCAGAAACCAACCCCTTCGGCTCTCAGAACATGCCTTTTCCCCTCGCTTGCTCTCCAACTGGACTGAGCTTCCTGCTCTTGTCCTTCAGAAACAGGACACCAACTGCTCTCCCCTCACCCGTATCCATGTTACCATACTGTCCTGTTTATAATACTACACAAGTCATATCATAAAGTAGCTTTAAATGCCTATCTTCTGGTGAACTTATGGCTTTCACTGCTTCTCAGCTTTTGAGAATCATCATAAAGGCTATCTTTGGGCACCTAAATCACACAGGAAAACAGAAATTTGGCTGTAAGACTGCAAGCTTTGCCTTTGTGGTTTCTAGGAAAACCCCATTTGTCTGGATAAGGAGAAAATGAAGTTTCTTCCATTCCCTCAACTTTTTGGTTCTCCTGACCTTGCTGCACTCACAAGATTCTTGAGTGGCACAAAGGATTTTTTCCCCCTCAACGCGACACAAGACATACTGAAGCTAAGTACAAGTCCCACAAAGGCAGCCTGTGTATCCATCCTTTCCACAAACACTTATCACAATGCCCAAGAGAAAGAGGATCCACACCTAGAGCAAACAATCCTCCAAAGAAATCAAAGACTTAGTCTTACTTAGTACTGCTGTTCCTTCTGTCCACTGTTGTAGCTCCAGTTCCGATCTGCACTGAGGGTCCACTAGGCAAGGGCTGACTCTGGAAGATCAACTCTGGGGTGAGATCCACTTCTGTAGGACTCACCATCACTTTGGCTGCAGAAAGTAAAGCTGTTTTCCCTTTGTTGTAATTCTCCAAGACCTATTTCAAGGCAAGCAGAGGAAGAGTAGTGCTTTACTAGAGATAGCAGCTTTGCTGTTCTCAGCTCAGGACTTTCAAACAGCTGGATTTGCCTCTTTCTTACCAATGTCTTCTGCAAGCACAGGGCAAGGTCTTGAGATAAAGGACTGTATCAATGAATTCTGACATACTCTATCCTGTCAGAATGACCTGCTGGGAATCCAGTGCTAAGGAGGTGACTGGAGGGAAGGTGTAGGAGCAGCCTTCAGGCCAGCTGGGCAGAGACTTAGCTAAATCTCCACGGCAGGAGATTGCTAGGAACTGTAACTCAGTGGCAGAGACCTATTCTACAACCATTATACATAAGCTCAGTCCCCCCTCAGACTGACAGAGAGGCTGCAGCCACAGCGTGGAGGATTTGTGTCACAGCTTGGATGTCACCTGAAGTGCAGTCTGTAATGGGCAGCTTCTGAGAGAAGGAACCAAACACCACCCAACTTCACATTATTATGATGTTAAATTTGGAAGGAAGATGTAGTCTGGGACGCTGGATATTGGGATGGAGATCTACGTTCCATTTCCAGACCTCATTACATTCAACACTAACAGCCTGTGTACGGTTGGCTCAGAGCACAATCTTCTTCCCTCCTCCCCTCCAAAGTAAATGGCCTTGTGTATTTAAACAGCCAGCTCTCCTGTGCAAGGCCCGCCTCTTCATGTACGTAAAGGCCTGTGACAAGGCACTCGTTTTATTAGGGCACCCAAGTGCTCTTGCAATAACAATTACTAAAACTGGGCCCCACCAAGGGTACCTTCCTGGCTCTCCAACAAGCACACAGAGCTTTGGCTTGGCACCAAGCAGCCCGATCAGCTCATATGCCAGAACCACCTTGCTCCTTGTCCATTTTGTGCTTACAGCTCATCTCATCAGCTATCATGATGCTGAGCCTTTCTTGCCCAAACCTGGCTGTCTCTAGAGCCCATGTTATTGCACTGAACGATCCCTCCCCACCCTTGATCCCAATTCTCTGCGTTACCTTGTTGAGCCCTTCCATGACCACATATGGGAGGTGTTCATGCAACATCGCCGGCGAGATGATCACCTCATTAAACGCCTTATTGTCACCCCAAATAGCAAAGTAAGTGGGATCCTCTTGCTCGCAGCAACTGGAAGAGGAGTTGGGATTCAAACAGAGGGGAAAACAGTGAGCCAGGGGTGAAAGAGCAGGCCAGTATTTTGGCACACAAAAGAAACAGCAGGGTGCACAGATAGAATAAGCAACAGGAGGAAAAACAGAGAGAGGATATTAGAGTAGACATGCTACTGCCATTGCTCCAAAACTTTGTACTAGCCAACAATGTTATGACTATCCTTTTATTCTGATAGTGCAGACACAAGACAGTGGGGATAAAAAAAAAAGAAAAATCATCTCCTTCATAGATGGGTTCCTGTCCTGGGGAGTCTTTTCCAACAGAAAAGTTTCACCCCCAGCCCTCAGGCTGGCTTCGCAGCTCTGCGCACTCACCAGCACTGCTCTGCAGGATGGTTGTGCACCACGTGGATGATGCGGCCGGGCGGGTAGAGCGGTGTGCTTGCGGACAGGGCAATAGTCAGATCGCTGGGGTGGGTCCAGAGCCGATTACTCGTTACAGAATTTTCTTCTGTCTCTTCAGGGAGCTCTGACTTGGGTATGCACTTTGTAGCACCCACAATGATTCGCCACTGTCCAACACAAGAGAAAGAAGGGAGAATATTGGAAAGAGAAAAACATAGAAAAGCAGAATCATCTCACAAGTCACTATTAGGAGGTTTAAGCTGTATAGCTAATATCAGAAAAAACAGGTCTTGTGCCCTGACTGCTTCAATAATAGACCTAGAGAGAGAGATAACCCTGCCCAGAAAAGCTGTTTCTTCCTTTCCCATTTTTAACCTTAGAAGTGGCAACATCTCATCCTTCCGTTCTTTGCTGAAGTTTTTGTAGTTAAGGAACTAGAGCAAGCACCAACTTGTCCACCAACTGGTAACTTAGTACCTTCCAGGATAAACAAGGTAGGTAGAATCTGAATTTTTAATGTACAAAAATAAGCAGAAGACTATAGAACAAACAAAAATTCTGTTTGGGCCTTCCTTTATGCACTAAAAGAAATCCCATAAAACCAAACATCCACCAAAAAAACCCATAAGCCAAAACACAAAAACCATAGAATGATAACAAGAGAAACAGATGTAAGCTCAGTTTTTTCCCTCTACAGGTCATTTCTGTAATATTTTACCCCGAAAAAATCTTAATGTCTTCTGTTTTTTCCATTTCCATGTAATGGTAAAGAAGCCTGGGGAGGAACAACTTTCTACATTTCCTATCTCCAAAACATTCACAGACCACTTATCCTAGAACAGCACCACCCAGACAGCACGCAGCAGTGTCTATAAGCAGACACCTGTTGGACCTCCTAGCCTGTTACCACTTGTCACTGGCCAAGAAAAGCTACAGTCAGAACAGACTTCAAAAACAGGCTCAGATGAGAAAGTTTCCTGCTCAGTTACTTTAGACCTGTGATGTTAAACCTACAGCACCTGAGAGAATCATCCCACAGCCTGCAGACAGAGCGCAGTCCTTTGCCCTGACCTCTCTGGCTGCCTCCCAGCTCTTGCTCCTCTGGCTACCTAAACAGCAGGCACAATGGGTCTGAGGAGACCAGGAGGGCAGGAGTCTGCAATATTGCCATGTGACACTAAAAGTTTACCACCACTGCTCAGAGACTCACCTTCAGGTGTCTGTTAATCTTTACACTTACCTTTGGTTTGTTACTTCTTTGAAGAACATCCAGAAGCTGCCGGCGAAATCCCTCCAGCTGAGAAAGACCGATTCTGGAAAAGAGGAAGATCTGTTTACAACAGCTGGCCAGGGACAGAAGAACAAGAAACTACAAAAGATATTACAAGAATGTGACAATGCCATAACGCTGATAATTTCGGAGGTGGATTGTGGCATCAGCCAGGACCACTAACCAGGGTTAAGAGGCCACAGAAAACCATCGTGACAGTAAACAAGTATGAAATGTAATAGCAGAATCAGATCAGTGAACACAGATATGAGAGGTCAATGAACAGATAATGAGAGAGATGATGCAATCACGGAAACAAGTGAGCAAAGAACAGGATGACACAAAACAGATAAGTTAGAATGGTGTCACAGAGCCATATGACACCACTAAACTGATTGCAGGACGGACAAGATTTTGCCACACAGGTTTACCAAAAGACATATTCAATACCGTGTAGCACCTTTCCTCCACTGAATTCCACATGCATTTTACTGTACAGACAGAAATGTCACCATTTGTCTGAGCTCACACGACAGAGCAGAAGCAAAAGTAAACCCCAGGTAGTCTGGCTCCTACTCCAACGCCCTGTTCAGCAGAATATGTCCCAGGAGATGACGAGAGGTGAGAAATGCCAAGACACAAGGAATGAGGGAGCTGGTTCAGAGATGTGAGATGATATGAAACAGGTATTTAGGAACAAACAGGACAAAATGAGATGGCAGCACATCTAGTTCGGGGCAGAGTGTAAAGAGGTCCGAGATAACACAGGCAACCAGGAAGATGGCACTGACAGGTCAGATACTGCAATGAGTACAATTAGAGGCAGGATATTCACCCTTTGCTTTCATACAGGCAGTTGAGAGACGGGGAGGGATATGCCTATAAAAAGGTGTGTGAAATATAAATACAGGTGTCCAGGTAAAAGATGCAGCAATATAGGTAACTAGGAAGACAAGTAAGAAGCGTACAAAGACAGGTAAATGAGGAAACTGAAGACAGATATGATTTAGGTGTTTGTGATAGGAAACAAGTGACTTTGGTAAAGAACAGTGGATACTCATCAAGAAATTCAGACATTTCTCAACTTGCCTGGGCACTAGATCTTTGCCAAGCACAACCGCAGTCACAAACTCTTTTGAATACTCCATGGCATCCTCACTGGAAGAGAAACAGGACCAAGAAGAAGCAAACAGTGTTTCACTGGCAGTAAACTGCACTTCATTCCCAATTTGCCACTGGTGTCAGAAAGGTTACCAAACAGTGAACCAGGGTCATAAAAACCACAACCCAAGCTGCTCCAGGCTTTGGGGATTTGCACCCTGATAAAGAAAAGCCTGATATTCACATCCCATGCCCCAAGCAACACTACTCTGCATAGGGTTCTGAATACACTTGGAAAAGGAAGTACTCTAACGTCATGTCTCATAGATGTTTTGCAATAGTTTGGGAATGACCAAGACAGCAGAAAAGAAGAAGATACTCCATGCTCCTGAGACTACTTTACAAAGACACTGTAGAACTAAGATGGCCACTTTCTGCAGTAACCTAAGTACCAAGATAAGAGGGAACTAAGGCTTCTGCTCTATGAGCTGGTTCTGCAATCAGCTACCTTCCTAGAGACCATCTTCTGAACCAGTTACCAGAGGCAGAGGCTGCGTCATCCCTAAATTCTAGGGATGATCCTGGGCATGACGATGCAACAGAAGTGTGGCAGTGAGAGGCTCTTGAACTCTCAGACAGTCGAGGTAACACAGCACAACTTGACCCAGGCTATCAAGGGATCTCAGGAGTGGAAGCTCTGCACAGAAAGCTAGAAAACTCTCATTAAACATTCTACAGAGCAACTCCTCAATATCTGCAGAAGACCAGGGATTACTATCATAACAAGGCATGCCAATATCCAGATTCATTAGCAGGATGGTTTAAAACCCTTGGCTGCTCCTGGAACACGATGCAGTAACTACCACAAGAAGCTTCTGATTATCCATAGCTTCTTTCAGGTGCCCCCGTGATGCCTGTCACCACTAGGGAGACCTTATCTCACTCCACTGCAATCAAGTGGGATGGTTTTGTTGGGCTGCCACGTAAATAACATGACCAGCAGGTTTGTTCCAGTTTACAGTGGGAGGAATTCACCATACCTCTCTTCAGAGATCTCTGAGGCAGCTACCCTAGATTCCCCCCTATAGCCGAGGGAGAGAAACAAAAACCCACGAAGCACAATCCCCCCGACCTATTTTTGGCACCCACTTTAGAATGACAGAAATCACACTCCAGAAGTGCCAATTTCTTTGTCAGCTGCAAAAGGAGTCCAAACTAGATCAACTGATGCAGATACCTCATTCAGTCAAATATCTCCCTTATTGTACATCTATTCACAGCAGATGGGGAGAGGACAGACTGACACTGTGCAGGGAATAAGCAAATTGCACCCTGTCCACTCAACTTGCATTTTCCACTAGTCAGGGTGAAATTAGAGTTATAGCCATAGACAACTACGCCATAAACCAGAATATTTGGGAGAGCGGCGACCTAAACTCCAAACTGTAACACAGAGCAAGGGCTGCCAACAACCCTCAGCTCCTATAAACTGCCTTTCAATTTTTCTGCATGCTTCTCAGCGGAGAGACTGGTCTTTTACTGCTCCTTAGGGAATCACAAACAGCATCCAACTATAACTACACCTCCCCTCCCTCTCTCTCCCCCAACACCTACCTCAGCAGCCCACCTGGGGGAGAATAGGCAAAGCACTTCAGTGATGGGTACTGTGGACGCAAGAGGAAGGACAGGATGGCAGCTGTGCCAGCCCCTAGGGAATGACCAACCACAATCAGGCCATAGTGTTTTGTTCCTCTCCCCTGAAAACAAAACAAAACAACAAACAAAAAAAGAAATTGAAGTCAGACGGAAAGGTAGGTCTATAGTCCCCAAAATCTGTCCCTTTCCCCGGCTCTGAGTCCTTCCTATACACGAGCACTCCAGACTCCAGCTAACCAGCTCCTCCACCCACAGGAACTGGTGAGAGTATGTTAGATTTTGAAATGGAAGCAGAGTTCCAATTTATACTGTTTAGTCTAAGTCACAGTGGCAGTCCTGGCACACTCCTGCCCTGCACTGACACTTGCTCTGAAGGGATACTAGAATTCATTCTCTTCTGGTGTTGTCTCCTACATCTCCATCAGTCAGTGTCTGACCTACTGAGTCTTCCCTAAAAGAAAAAAGGTAGGAAGAAAAAAGAAATGTACGCAAGCTGTTTGAGTTATTTAGGATGTGATACAAGCTTTTTGCTCCTCCTCAAATCTGACAGCTTTCTGATAATTTCTGAGTCCAGGCTCACAAACCTGAGGTCTCCTTGGTCCTAGAAATTACTTGCTTTCATTAATTCTAACACTTCTGCAAGCTGAAAAACAGAAATCCTAACTAGTAGTTTGAATGGTAGTCTTCTAAGTCTAGATGCTCTCAGCAGCTGGCCACTGCCCAAGTCATTCAGAGACTACACTATCCTCTAACGTTCTGTACTGTTCTTGTTATTCAGAGGCTAGAGTGCTAGGCATGGCTTAGAACCTAGAAGTTCACTAAGACATTGTTTGAAAAGTTTCAGTCTTGTTTTGCCAAGTTCCCTGTAGGCTTTACATAGGGAGAGAGAATCTGGCACCTGACTCCACAGCACCAGGTCACCACGGAGATGGCTACACTTGGAATTCTGCATAAGATGACAAAAGACACACAGAACATAAGACGAGGCCACGAGAATGGCAGATTTATCTTTGTGTCATTTTCCTTCTCAAGGCAACCTCTAAGGCACCATCATGCCTGTTACAGGCAGTGAGGTGAATGCTGGGGGGGGATTTAAGACTTTATACACCTCACTGGTTATAGTTTTTCCCTGAGTATCTGTTGCTGGTAACTGTCAGAAACAACATACTGAGCTAGATGAACCTTTGTTAGGACCCGAGATGGCATTTATGTTCTGGCCATGGCACTTTTTCAGATATTATTCACAGTTCAACTTCAAACAGTACTTAATTTTCTACACACAAGCCAGTTGCTCCATCTCATATTAATCAAGCTCTCCCCATCCTTGTGGGTCACGTCCAGCTAGTTAACACTATTTTTCATCAGTTAGAAGTCAGACCCATTGTACATAAAGATGACTTCAGAGAGAATATAGTACTTATTATCACGCACAGAGAATACCAAAGTCTAGAGCTTCAAACATCACTGCGTCCTTACCAGTCAGGTAGCAACCGAGCTCTACAGGACATCAGGAAAAAATTCCTCATGAATAACAGCTCACTTAACAAGACCAATTCTCACTGTCTGGGCAGAGATATAAAGCACCATATAAAGAAGTCAGATGCCTACTTTTCTCTCCTACATCTACCAAACATCACAAGGCAGACACTTCAGTGGTGATTGCTATGACATTCAAGTTTCAGGGAACCATTAAGGTTTTTATCCCTCTTTTCTTTCTCCCTTGAGCTACTGCTAATTTCCCCACGGGCACCGTTCAGGCCAAGACACTCTTTGGGCATGAGAAGAGGACAGCTGTCTGACAGCAGGGAATTGGACAGTTCAGAAGTTCCCTCCCCAGCAGGGACTGACTGTGCTATTACTGACATATAAAGGAAGGTAAGCTGCTTTGTAACATCTCTCTTGGGTTCTCCAATAGCTTTATCACAAGAAATGTGCACACACAGACAGGCAGCATTGCATCCCATTGCTGTCTCCAAAAAGAATCTCCATAGAGATGAGATTTTAGTTCCTGTTGATTTGTTTTTAGTATTCCCTGTCCTGCATTGCCACCAAATGGGACTTCCTGCCTTAGCTTCGCCTGAGAAGAAAAATAAATAATCAGGAGCTCTGCAGTATTGGTGGTTTCAAAATAAAAAAGCCTTGGGGAATGAGTAGCTAGTAGCCTGTCTGGCAATCCAGAGGGACAGGAAGATTTGAGAAATTAGTACAACAGACTCAGGGACATGGAGGTTTCCCTAAAACCAATGTTTTGGGGAAATCTCATCTTCTGTATAGCCTGTAAGGATAAAAGAAAACCAATACTCACTAAATCTCGTCCAAAAGCTTGAGAAAGCACCATTTCTTGCTCCAATTTCTTCTTGATGTACTCAGCAGATAGAACCATTCCCTGAGGGAAACGTGAAGACAGAACAGGATATAAACAGTTGCATATTAGCCCTGGTCTAAATATCTAGCAGAGACTATACTGCCTCGAATGCAGTCTAAGCTCTGGAGTGCCACACAGCATGTGTCAGGGTTGAGGAAGAACACTGACTCCACTCCACATTTAGGAACAGACTTCATTAGGCAGATGTCTTGGCTCACTGATTCCAAGAGCCACAAACTGTTTAGAAGTAATGACAGTTCTTAAATTAAAATAATACTCAAAGGCCCTATTCCTGGGCTCACGCTGCAAAGTCTGAAAAACAAACAAAAAAAAAAAACCCAACCCCCAAAAAACCCCAAACAAATAAAAACCAGAAAAACCCAACAAAACACCACAAAACAACCCACTTCTTAAGCCCAAGGTTATGCATCTGGTAGTTCAGCAGGCACTGGAACCTGCAGCAGAATGAAGGAAGGGAACTTTGATTTTCTGCACATCCATGCTTTAACTGCAAAACTGTACTCATCCACTTAAATCAGCAAACAAAAGCATGATCCAGCCTAATGAGTTCACAGGAAAAATCATACAAACCCCAAGACACTACTGGAAGGAGACAGTGGCAGCACTATCTGTATAGGAAGAGTTATTGATGACTGGGAGAAGGCAGCAACTATTAAGGGGATTCAGCTGTCAAACACATCAATCACAAATTATTAAAGGTTTTTCTTCACTAGAAACTCAGAACTGCTGGAAAAGGGGAAACAAGCTGATAGTCTGGCTCGACACATCTATCCTATCTGCTGATGGCTGCGTCTGAAGAATGTTTCTCCCTCTCTGCAACAATTATAAATGCAGTTGATCTGTTATAAACAAGCAAGTAGAATTTGGACTGTTGCATAAATCCTTGGTTATACCATTCCCTACAGTTTAATTCAGTGGTAAGCAAGCCTGAACTCCAAAGGTTGAAAAACAGGGATGTAGTCCAGGATGAACACAGGTAAACAGCAATCACCTACTTCTAAATTTGGTGATTACAGACCTCAAATAATTCACACTGCCTGGGTTGGTCTAAAACCAGGGAAAATAATCTCCTTTGCTATTTTCCATTACACCCCTACCTGAGAACAGTTTAAGTACAAAGCGAACGTTATTGAGCACTGCTTAATCTCAGAGATGTAAAAGAATTAATGGCCCTCTGAAAAAGCAAGGAAATGTGGAATTTTCAAAGTCCCCGATATCAAACACACCATCAAAACCAATCTGACTACTGAAGGGAAAGAGCAGAGCGCGGGTGATTCTGCTGAGCCTGTAAATGGGACATCTGTAACGCTACCGTCATTATCAAAAAGCAGATGCCACGATATTTCATGCCTGTGTTCAGAACTCTCAGCAGCTAGCCAGCTTCCACTGCATTCAGAAGAGTCTCCATTTCCAACTCTAATGAGAAGTGAATGGCAGACTACTTATAAATTTCTGACGTGAATTTGGGATTCTATTTTTGAAAAGCATGACCTAAATCCATGGTGATATTACTAATGGGCTGTTAGTCAGCCTTATAGCTATATTTTTGGTAATTAAAGTATATTCTAATATAGACATTTATTTTAATATTACCGAATGAGACTTTTATCACTGCAAAGTTACATTTAGACTTTCCATTAAAATGAATGCTGTTTCATACGTTTCAAAGGACTGGGCTATCTGGGCTTGATTTTCAAACCTCACATGTAAATAACCAAGCAGACTGGAGATCTAGGGAAGGTGAAATGGAAATATTCTGTATTGCTTTGCAGTCTGAAGGCACGAAACTGCTCTGTGGCATTTGAATTGTGCATGTGAAAACCCACAGAGGGGTCTATTTGGTAGAGAAAAGAGCTTTAAAGTCATTGCTCTTACTGACAGTTCCATCAAGCTGGTGAGAGCTGTTATCATGGCTGAGCTTTCAGAGCTTCCTTCTAGCAGCTACTTCTTGTCTTCCCGGTTGGCTCAACACCAGGAAAAAACCTCCGTAACATCATCATTTTAGTAATTTTGTTCTATACAAGTTCAACGGAATTAGGAATGGATTCATGCCATTGACTAATGATTATTTTAAAATTAATTTTGTTATCATATCAGTGGATTTTATTTCAAAAATAGGGAAGCTAGATATTTTTTATTTTTCTTTTGCAGTTAATTTCCCCTCTGAATTCTGACAACCCCTTGGTTTTTTTTGGCATGCTAACCCATAAACCTTAGTTACAGCTATGTGTTTTGATCCAAAATAGAGACCTACTATATATTTTAACTGTGGCATTCACAGCACCCCAAGCAATCAAACACTTTCAGCTGTGGTAGCGGTGGAGTGATAAGAAGGCTCATGCAAACATCAAGAGTTTTAATTTGTAGGCTGTCTGATCAACACCACGTGAAGCGCAGCGACAGGCGGGCTCTGCAGGTGGAGATAACCAGCCACGCCAGCCTGCCGGGTGTGCGGGACAGGATCAGCAAGAAAAATTAACATAAATCAAACAACTTACAGGAAGCTCCCAAACACCCAAGTACTTCTCTCCAAATTAAATGTGTTAAAAAGACACTTTTTTTTTTTTTTTTTTTTTTTTTTTGTATTGAAGTTGACTTCTGGACATTAAAAGATGCATTAAGACAGACATTTTTAAATTCTATTACCTCCATTAGTTTTCCTCGGAATCAACAGTACTTTATTGTCTGAAGATTGATATTTATAGTAATTTCAGATAAAGTTTTATTTGTGTACTAGCAACAATCAAAAAGAAATAACACAAAGGCCAAATAAAAACTCAACATACAACAAAGGGAATGATCTAATAATGTTCCATATAAGTCACTGGCATATGAATATTTTTCACATAAAGATCAAAAGAAAAGCCAGCTTCTGCAAGGATCTATTACTAGCTTCTCTGCACATCAAAAACAGAACAAATCCCCCTTGCTTCCCTTTGGTTTCCTTTTACCTTCCTTTCTCTGTACAAACTGTTGATCACACTGATTGTGCAAAGTCATTTTGGGCTAAGTAAATTAGTACAAAACCAAGTGACATTAGCACTGACAGCAGACGTAGCACTTCGGAAGTGTTAAACAGTAAAGATTCACACAGCTAAATATCAGTTATGTGACAAAACACTACCCTCATTTAGCTCTGGTTCCATAACATGTCCTCCTATGTAATTGCCACGTTGAGTAATTTTCTCATTTTGGAGGAAACCAAGGAAATGCCCAGCAGCCAAATAGGAGGTACACAACGCTGTTTTCAAAAAGACCCACTCTGGGAGACTTGGAGGGCACAGAGCATCCAAACATCGCTTTCTTCGGTAACCACTTCTTTACCAGACCCATACCCAGCTAAGCACTCGAGCACGCAGTTACCTATCAGCTACTAATGCTCTACTTCCCAAAGCAGAGCATCAAAGCGCAGAGAAGAGGTTTAGCATTCAGGCAGGACCTCACGAATGAAGCAGGAGCTCCCAGCTCACAGCTCCCAAGGAGTGACGAGCTCCATGTCCTGCCCTGAAGGGACCCCAACCAGATGATCTGTAACATCTTGCCTCCCCGAGCAGCAGCATTTCCAGCCACTGCCGCGTTCCTTCCAACACACACAACCTCCAGTTTGTATTTTTCTTTCCCGATCTGGCGCTGCATCTTGAGAGGCTGCCAAATTCCTGATAACCTTAAAACTCAGCATGTGTGTCATTACTTTGCTGGACTGGGGCAAAGGTCCGCTCTATAGTAAATTGATTTAGTCAGCCCAGTCCTGATCACTAACACAGACACATAGCATCAGCCTAATTACACAGATGCAAGTCCTGCCAGTATCCTTTTATGAGATTCAATGCCTATCCTGCTGCAACAGAATTTTAAACATACTCTCAGGGTTTGATTGCAAATTCTGAAAAGGTCATTGGAAGAAAAAAAATAATTTGAATGACTCCAATAATTCTGTTCTAGGTCTCCACAGATGCCTTTTTCAGTTTGCTTTTTCCTAATTGTATGTGTTTTTTAATTACAGACACGGTGATTTCAACTGTTAGACTAAGGATTTTATTTTAACATCTCAAAGCCATTTCACTGCAATTATGTAACATCCTTCTTAAAAGCACCTCAAGCAATTAAGATGACTTTTTTTGGCCTGTAATTAAAGAATCAAAACATGAGAAAAAGCAGTGGTGGCTTTTTGTTTGGGGTATGTTTTGTTTTCTTTTACACACCTTGTGTCCCAGCCATGTTCCATGGTGACCCTCAACTGGAAGGCGCTCTGCATCCCCAGTTAAGTCAGTCAGGGCATCCTGGAAGAAAAGGAGTCACCATGTTTCAGGTAAATCAAACACCAGGTGCCAGTCAGGAAGGCGTCAGACCCTCCTAAAAGATTGCCAGGGTGGCCAAGTGTACATGAGGTCACTGCACAGTGCACTTACTTTTGGAGACAGAGTTCCCCGGATACTAATGACCACCTTCTTCTTATCATGGTCCACAGCCACGTAGAAAGGCGTTTCATAAACCTGGAAAAGATCCACTACTGTAACAATCAGGTGAGACATTCCTGTTTAATTATTCTCCTGCTCAGGGGAAAGGAGGCAGAGCAGCATGACAGGTTATGCCTTATGGGTAAAGCACTCCTCCGAATGATCTGATTTTTGGCAGTAGCAAATATTTCTGTCCAAGTGGCAGAACTTCTTGATGGAGAGATAGGATGGGAAGCTCTAGGGTCAGAAAAAGGTTTAAGTTTCCTTCTTTGCACCACTACATCTGGAAGCACGGAAATCCCATTAGGAAGGGCCTTAGGAGCATGCCCCAAATTTGAAGGGGGTTGCAGATTCTCCTTACTGCATCGTGGCAAGATGTGTAAACAATGTCCACCGAGGTCATATTCTCATCCAAGAAGTGGCGTCGGATGGCAATGGCATTGCAGCCACAGCAATTATCCTCTTCAATGGTGACACTAGGTGCATAGCGGGGACGTGAAGGGCAGAGACAGCAACATCTGCAAAGAAAAAAAAAAAAAGCTTTGAGGAAAAGAGGAATATGGAAGAAACTGGCTTTAGAGTGGAATGCCTAGAGATCAGGGAAAGAGACCCTGCATGTCACACCAGCCTTATCTCAACAGCAGTGCTTTCCTTCACTTGTAGGAGCTCTTGCACAAAACAGTACACAACTCGTGTTTCAGCATCAAAAGGGGCACTGGGATCAGATGTAGTTTTCCTTCTGAACACCAGAGAGAGCTACAGTGCAACCAGTCCCCAAGGAATCAATGCATGGTGGGGCTGGGATCTCTCCTCAAGGGATACTATGCTTCATATCACAGTCCTACATTGCTTCAACACAGAAAGCAGCTAGCATTTACTGAGATCTAGATCTATTTATAACAAAAAAGAACACAGGTCTAGAATCATCCCAGAATAAAAACAGAAGCGCAGATTTTTTTTTTCCTTCTTCCCCCTATGAGACACTTCACAAATAAAAGTACCCAAAAGGAAGCATATTCCTCTTAATAGGTTCAGCACAGAAGTTGCCTGCTTAAGTGCAAAAAGCTCAACCCCAAAGAGAATCTGATGACAGCATTATGGCAGCTGAAAGCAAACATTTAAAACAATGCGATCCTGAACTACAGCATTGCTACCATGAGGTGAGCACTATCCAGCACGGCAGAAAAAAAAAAAAAAATTAGTCATAGAGAACACAGCACAAACTCTGGCCAAGACTTGCCAATGCTTTAATAAAGACCCTAATGTCAACCCCCTGCATATCTGGGCTTGCCAATAAATCTGATTTCTGAGCTCCAAGACAGCTATTTTGGCTCAATGTGAAAGCAGTTTTGTGCCAGATGAGTTCTCTCCGCTGGCTGTTCAAACTGCACAGGACTGGCATGATCCTTAGTGCACCAGAGAGGACAGAGCATAGGACAGTCTGGTTCATTTAACAAGGTAAGCAGATAAGCAACTAAGGAAAAGATTGAGGAGAAAGCCAGTGGAGTATGAAGGCAGAGAGTTGCTGAGAGATGGAAATAAAAAGCATGAGAAGGGAAGAGAGGAAAAAAGCAGAAGAGAAAAGAAAGGGGAAAAAATAGCGGGGTGATGGAGAGCAAACTGATGAAAGAAAGGGTATTTCTAAATCTGGGAAAAACAGAAGGGGAAAGGGAAGAAGAGAAGGCAGTGATAGACAGGATGGCCACTCACGAGCAGGATCTGGCCAGGCGACAGAGTCCACATGTGGGCTTCCTCATCAGGTATATGGGCCAGCCATAGGCAGCCAGGGCAAACAGCATGTAGTAACACACCTCTTTGTACCGCTGCATCTCTTGCTGAAAGAGACAAGAGACTCGCTAAAGGCCTTATTCTCTTTTTCACAGTGAGCTTTTCCACTGTTTCCCTTTTTCCATCAGGTAGACACATGCACCCTTCTTTCTGAGCACCAGCCTTCTCTCTCAGCACCACCTGAACAGCACTGTCAGCGTTTCCAGGTGACTGCCAGAGAGCAAGCTGGTTATGCTGGGCAAGATCCTCCCCCACCCGAGAACAGCTCAGTATAGCTATGCTTATTTTCCTGAGTGGAGGGGCCCTGCTAGGTGTTTAACAAAACTAGAAGTTAGCTCTAGAGAAATTCTCCTCTGTGTATCAAACACCCTGTTGCAAATGAAAATGGGTTTTGCCCCACACTCTGCGGAGAAGCTAGTTTAAATCCCAAAAAGATGAGCTCTCTAAGTATACTGCTTCCACATAGTCACAGGCCATAATAAGATGTCCAGAAAGGACCATAAAGCCTCAGTGCTGTCTTCTATAAGCTCTGCTGACATCTCTCCCCACACACACCTATTCAGAAGGAAAGGCAGGCCGAACACGAGCAGGATGTTAGCATTAAACACAAGGCAGTACAGCACAGCCACAAGCAGGATAATCGCAGAATCACTTGATCAGAGACGCTGGGACTGGGTCGGTCTTGCCTCTCTTGCAGCAATATCATCTAATCAAGGGGAGTGAATAGTTTGCCCAACGAAGGGCTGCAACAGCAGCATGCCAGGAGAAAAGCCAAGCTTAATTCACAGAGAACAGAACAGACTGCAGCCACTTCCATCCTGAGAACTGCCAACAATCAGCCCCAGGGAGGAAGGCTCCATCTCACCCCAGGCAGCTCCCTGCCCTTATCAAGACGGAGCCCTGCCTGCTGGGCTCCATGAGTTCTGCTGGTGGCACTTCCATATGGAGCTCTGCACGACACTCCTGGATGCAGCGCTCAACTCATACCTCTGGCTTTGGAGAAACTTCACATTGCCTTCCCCCAGCTGAGTGGAAATACTACCACTTCCCACAAAGTGGAGGACAGAGAAATATAATGCTTTCAAAAGTGATCTGAAGGCAAAAAGCCTCCAGAGAGCAAGTGTTGGTACTATATTGTGTTGCACTGATCTTTAATTTCTTTGATTATTCTAGAGAGGGGCAGAAAGAAATAAGAGAAGTGACTAAGAAAAAAGAAAACAGGCTACATGGGGAAGCGTGGCAAGTTTGCAAGATCGCAGCCCAGTGACTTACCGCATTTTTCAGATCCAGATACTTTGTGTTCCTGGTCACTGGCATCCCAGACAGAAAAGCTAAAATGTCATTGTTTGCCTGTAAGTCACAAACATACATAAAAATTCTTCTCTGTGACACCAAGACAAAATCTATCAAAATTTACACCTGAGAAAAAGAAAGCACTGTGTAACCTGGCACAAGATACTTCCAAGTATCCCAACCAGTTTCTTCAACTGGTTCCAATTCTGCTGTTCTTACTCTGCCTGACCCGATCACTACTGTCTGAACCCCACCACTGGGGGAAAAAAAAAAAAAAAAAAAACACCAAACAAACAAAAACCCCACAGTTTTCTACTGGGTTAACAATCCACAAATCTCAATGCCAGTAACGGCTTGGAAATTTATGAATTTTTTCTCTAAAGTTCCTCCTGGAGCTTTACCCAGATGCTGGAGTCTTTTCCACATCACTACATGAGGAGTCACCTTCTCATTCCCTTTCAAGTACCTACCACCTTCTTCAAGGCAGTTGCCCATTTGGAGTCAAGAGCTAAAACTGTATCGCCTGCCTAGAAAAGACGACAGGTTTCACAAGCTTGACTCAGTGTCAGTTGGGCCCTTTGAGAGTCCCGGAAAAAGCTGTTAAAGTAGTCAGTATTTTTATTTTACAGCTCAGTGGCTGGCAATAGCCCATCACACAACAGAAACAAGGTGGGCAGAGTCATGCAGTTCTCCCACAGTGAGTCACAAGAGCAGTAGGTAAGTCAGAGGCCAAGTGAGATGCCCGCTGCCTCCGTGCAAGGCGACGGGCCCCCGCCACCCACCTCATCCAGCACAGCGCTGCGCTTTGCCCGCTGCCGTTGGCGCAGAAGAACCAGGCCTGCAATGATGTCAGATGGGACGATGTCAAGGTCTCGGAAAAACTCAGCGAAAAGGTAGGCGATTTCAGAGTAGGCGTCCTGCAAAATCCAGGGAGGGAAGAGTTTAGGAGGAGGAGTTTGGGTGTGGGGAGCCTCAAAACAGGACACAGAATGAGAACCTATGCGGCAGCAATGGCCTCATTTCTGTAGCTCTCTCTCCAAAACATCCACGCGATTCCTTCAGGGAACACCATATCTGGTCTGATCATATTAATATCTCTTATTTATTTTACATAGTCACACTCAGAGGTCTCAGCTGAGACTGAATTTGTACTATGCTGGGTACTTGCGTGTGGGCAAGCAGACCACCTCAGCATCAAAACAGACACAAAGGGAGAGAATGGAAATGTTTCTATCTCTACATTGTAAATAAGACAGAGGAAATAAGATGAGAACCAAGCAAATCCCAATACAGTGTCACCTCAGCATCATTCTTTCTCCTCAAATGCAATTTCATTTGAACAAAGACTATTCAGGGGAAAAAAAAGCACTGATTTTGTCTTATTTAACAGCCTCTTCAATCCTGTAACTTTGCCCTAGGATCATTTTACCCTTTCTTAACGCAGACCTCACCATCCCAGGCACATCACAGAAAGCGAGCGCTTTTGAATCTTGCCACTGCACAGCCTCTGTAGCTGCTCATCGTTCACCATGATTTCAAAGAGTTAATTACAACAAGCAGGTGCTACACATGGCAGCTCTTGGTACTGAAGGAGCTGACCAAATTACAAGGCTTTTCCAGATTTATCTTGGACTATACCCAAGCAAAAGGGCCTGAAAAGGAAAACCTGGAAAAAGATCTGAGTCATTAAATACAGAGTTCCCAGAAGAGAAAGTGAGCAAACCCAAAAAAGGAAGACACCATAGGAGGGACAAGAGGTAGCAGTGACCTGAGAGGGTCAAGCAAAGGCTCCAAAGCAGACTGACAGATATTTTGAGGAGCAGTGCTATTTTCCCTTTTGTTCTGTACTACAAAAACACCCCACAAGATCTTAAGTGAGAATGGTTTGGGAGGTTGGGGATGGGCTGGACTGTGAGACAATGCTGCTCTGGCCATCGCTCAGACCAGCAAGCTGAATAAAGACAAGGGTGACCCAGAGGTTGGATGAACAAAACATGTGACTGAACAAGCGCTGTAGTACACCAACAGTCAGTATTTTGACTCCTTTCATACCTAGGGCTGTCACCACCTTATCCTGAACTTTTAGCCCACGCTTTCATAGCATTCTTTACTCAGCAACTAAAGACATGCAACTGCAGGCTTGTCTGTAGAAAGCCTGAGCTGTGCAGTTGAAGAAAGGCTGGTCTTGCAGACAGGATCTCTCCATCTCTCTTCTTTGACCAGCTAGAAAGTAAAATCCCTTCTCTCCCTAGCAGTCTTGCAAGAAGTGACCTACATTATTTTATCTCTGACGAACTCCTGGAGTGCAGGATTACTTTCTGTCATTTTTCACTTGCTTACAAAAGCAAGTTAAATCACCATTAAGAACAGGGGTTCAGGTGCCAACTGTGCATGTTTCCGTGCCAGCTGTGCCTTTGAAAAGCAAATGGACTGGCATTAACCTCTCCAACATTACAACTGCAGTATCCTTGAAGTACTGACCCCATAAATCTTAGCAGAGTTCCTATAAGCATACAAGAAATACAAAGAGCCTTGAAGTAAAATATGATGAACACCCATTAACCCGAAGTGACTGCAACAGCCCTTAATACTCTGACCAAAGTAAAAAGGCCATAATGGAAGTTCAACACATCTGCTCCAAAGAGTTTTTGCTGGAGCACCTGATACTATATTGTAGGATTGACTGTAGCGTTCTGCTACAAACCCTGCAGGCTCTGGGGCTGGCAAGGCTGCTGGAGACTTAGCACTTCAGACTTCACTCCAGACCCATAAGAACATTCTTACCCCGATGCCACATCCCCTCTGCAGAACTATTTACCAGCCCAGAGGACGATGATCCCCTGCTAGAATATTTTTTCCACGAAGACTGGGAGAGACAGCAACGGATTCATTTCTCTTCCATTACATACACATTCATTCCACACACTGCCATGCCAGGACACACAAAGTCAGAGCTTGTTTCTGCAAAGAGAAGAGCCTGGAAATTGCTCAAGCTGAATGTAAAATGGAAATTCAATAGCACAAGGAATTTGAAGATTCTGGTATCTGCTTTTATCCTGAACTTAAAAAAAAAAAAAAAAAAAAAAGTAGAAACAGACAGTCACCGCAGAATGAAAAGTTTGTTAAAAAAAAAAAGCCTGACAAAGTGAAATATTTTGCATTCTTGAATAAAATAGGCTTGTTCAGAAACCAGGCCATTCAGATGCCTGTCAGGGCTCTCGAGCCAGGCTGCTGTGCCCTCAGGACAAGCATCTCCGGATACACGGGCAAGGTGACCTGGCTGTGCTGTCAGGGGGAAGAGAAGCCGATGCACCCAGAAGTGCCTCTGCTCTGGGAGCACAGGCAAGTGGAGAAGCAGAAAATAACCCCCCAGGAAATGCTGCTGTTTGAGCTGCCGGGACACAAAGCTCGTTTTGTTTCAGTTTTCCAGATGGATTTTCCCTAAGTGGCTCTAGCTCTCTGGATCTGAGAGCTGGCAGTCCCGGGCTATGGCTTCTCAGCAGGCCGGCAGGTTGGGGCTGGGACATTCCCTGGGAACACGGTGGCATTTCGACCAGTCCTGCAGGAGCAGGGAGGATCAGCGTGCCGGTACATATTGCTGGATTTCTGCAAAAGGGTTAGGACAATTCCCGCAGCCATCCACACTGTGGAAGCTGCACCCTGCAGATGACTACACAGCCCTTACCATCAAACCCTTTTCATCTAATTCATACCGGTTGCCATCTGTGATGAACAAATGCTCAGGTAGCCTTCACCTGACTCTCCATTATTCTTACACAGCTCTTCATCTTATTACACCTTTCCCTTTTGAGGTTAAAATCCCAGTCTCATTTTTCTTCCTATACAAGTTCATATCCTCTCCAATATGCTCCTTTTTCTGCTGCATCTTTTAGGAGATCAAACACCAGGCTATATTTAGTGAGGACATCACTGATGTGGTCAGTCCCTTGGTGATTTCCCTGTCATTTTCTATGCCCTTCTCCTGAAGCTGAACGCTTTTCTGATTTTTTGGCCACTGCTGTGCACTGATGTCTTTGCTGAAGTGTCCTTGACAACTCCTAGCTCTTTTCCTGAGAGGTTGAAACTAATTCAGAGCCCAGCACATGTAAGTAATTTAAATTATTTCTTCAGCTGTGCACTCATCACCTCATCTTTCTTTATGACTTTCTTCTATCTTTGATAACAGTTCCCTGGTTCTGCTTGGTCCTTCAAGAGTTCTCAAATACTTATAATTCTGACCAACTTAAATCAGAAAAATTTTCTACCTTAGTACTCACCTCTCCAGCAGGTCCTCAGGAGTCCTGCTGAATCCCACTGTAAGGCACAAACCTGCTCCCACTGCTTCCAGTAAGAACGGACTGCTAACTCTGGGGGAAGCAATATCAAGCCCCTTACCCTTCCCTGCTAGACAGATAATAGCAAGGAAGAATCCCAACTGTAGCACGTGAAAACTTCAAACCAATGATCTCCATGTGAATCTATGGAATAAGTAGTAGTTTTTGACTGTTAGTAATCCAGAAATATTCTTTTGCTGATTCTGACAGGTTTACATTTTCCCACTGTCAAGTCTCTCTCCTTCTGAAGTGTATGAGACTGATGCAAACAATAGGAGAAACCTGCCTAAGCAAACTGGCTTATAAAGGGAAACTGAAGCTGACCACAAAGTGCTGTCACATGTTGAACGTAAACATAGTGAAAATATGTATTTCTTCTACTCATATCTTCACTTAGAATTATTATCCCAGTTCAGTGCAACAGCAAGGTAAAAAACAACTTCAGGAGAAGAGTTTAACACTGACAACATTGCTTTTCAGTGCTATTAACCTTACTTTCAGAGAGTAACTACTCAAAACCAGAGAGTTAAGACTAGCCATTTTGAAAAGACAAATGCCCTACCCAGTGATGTTACACCTGGAGCTAGAGAAAAACAGCAGCTTCTGTTTCTGCATGGAATACCCGAGTATCCTCCTGCAGAAATGCAAGTGCTCATTCAGGCTACTTGGGCTGAAAGGAAGGAAAAGGAATTAGCATGCAGCAAAATTTCAAGCCTGCTCAGTCTGAGGGTAGCTCAGCTTGCTGCTTCTTGGAAGGCATTTCCAGTCCTTGCATGCACTACTGTCAAGGCTCACTGGCCTCCCTGCACCTCCAGATCTCACCAAACACTCACAGGGAAGCGAGACGCACGTTGTCCAGGGCTGACAGCAGGAACCCCACACTGCTACACTCTGCTGAGTCCCGTGTATCGGCAGCCACACACAGAGCTTGTGCTCTGACAGGAGATATTTGGTACCTACCGACTGAGAGTCTTTTGTCCGTGTGCAGCAAAGAAAAACTTTGAGTCTGCGTGTCCAGCTGCTGGCTTGCCCTTCTTCCAGGCGGTGTCTGTAAATAAAGGGTGGAGTGTACACATGAGGACAGGCAGGAGAACATGACTGCAAACAAACAGTAGGATCCAATATAAAGTCACACAGCCTACGCTGTCACCGGTAAAACGCGTGCAAAACCATATTATTATATTTATCCTGGTCTAGAAGAGACAAAGAGACCACATATAGATTAAAAACTCAGCTTATTTTATTAATGATCTCCTTGTCCTATTATCTAGCTGTTCTGGTCAGGACCAAGCCTCTGTATGTACATATGTGATGGCCACCCCATTCAGACAGGACACAACAAAGCTACTGTTGTTCTGTGGTATCTGCTGGAAGCGAGATGTTCCAGAGCACCCAGTGCTCTGGATGGAAGGAAGGTCTACTGGCAACATGGAAACTGCATCACGTGCTGGGGTGTGCTACCACTCAGGAAGAAACCTATACCTCAAGGCAAGAGGGTGGGAATGGTACAAAAGACCCTGAGCACTTAGTACGAGAAGGGCTGTGCAATTTTTTCCAATAAATAGTTTATTTGGAAAAATATATTTATTAAACATAATACAGTCTCAGAACTGAAACAATTTGCACTCTTTATTCAAGTATTGTGCATAACTTCAATCAAAAAAGGAAAGCAAACTAAAGGTTCTCTTTCAATTTAGAAAAGGTTACAAAGGCTGAATACAGAAGGTTTAGCTCAACCCACATTTGGTTTATATGACATTTCAATTTCAGCTTCAAAATTAGCTAATTGGACAACCCTATTTAAAATGAACTATAGCTGAGTTCACTCCACTGTTGTGAGCTTGTCCTAGTTACTACATTTTGCAGGGGGACAGCCCCTTATTTTTGACTGGCGTACCTGCAAACAATAAAGTCAGGCTCAGTGACACTGAAGTGGGTGACTGCGATTCTTTGCCAGAGCACCATGCTACCTACATACATAAAGCCCACAGCTCCTCTCATGCAGGGACATTTTTAATGTGAATACAGACTAACTCAACAGAGGTCAGACCACTCAAAAAAGACCATTTCTATTTTCTGGCAAATGATCACATCGGGAAAAGCCCAAGCACAGAAAGTGGGTTGCACCTGGAAAAAAACAAACAAAAAAAAAAGAGATGCTGGTAAAGGAGTATTTGTCTGCAACAGAAGGGGCAGATCCTGTAGGGCAATCCCTCAACTCATGCCTGAGCATTTCAAAACAACTATCCACAACCTCCAAGGAAGACTGTAAAAGAGGAACAGGAATACAAGTGTCCTAAGACAGAGTTGGCAGTACTCAGTTTGCTCCACCAAATGCCAAAGAACTTGGGCAGCAATGTGAAGAACTTTACAACTTCACTGCGGGGGCTGAACAAGCAAGTGCGCTCCGAGATACTTTCACTCCAACTTTTTCCCAAATTCTTTCTTCCTAACATGGAACTTCCACATGTTTAGTATAAGCTTTAGAGCAAGTTTCTCAGAAAAGCCTCAGCACAGTTAGCTGAGCCTTTTGTTTTGTTGTTTTATTTTCTTAGCTCTGCAAGAACATAAAAGCCCACACACATCACGATGCCACTAGTAAAGGAAAACCACTGTGTAACAAAGCCCAACAGCTACGGCAGGATATCACAGAAAGAAGCCAAAGTTACATGTCTCCTTAATGTGATGAACAAATCAAGTTTCTCCATGAGTTAAGACAGAGGAAATAATGGTTAAGTATAATACAAAGGTCAAATCACCGCTGTCCATCAGAAGGCACTTATCACTGCAGACCAAGGAATTTCAATAGGAATGGCTGGCCCTCAGCATCTTACAGGATCACAATCCAGAAACAGGCAGAGAATTTCCTAACATATTCTTTGAAAACAATTGCTTTAGTAGTGAACACACAGTAACATTTTATGTTTCCCTTTCACATTATAGCCCACAGCATTTTGCTTGTTAACATCTGTTAACACTCCCTTTCTAGAGCAGAAACCTGCAATGAGCAGGCACAAGCTCTCCGAAAATGTTACAGGCCTGGAGGGAAAAACCTGGCCGCGGCCCAGGGGACAAGTACCTTCACTCACTTGTTTAGGATCTCAAAATTCCTCACAAGGGGAGATAATTTGGGGGTTTGTTTTGATTTAAGCTCTCTGGAAAAAAAAACTTTGCAATCTGTGGCACTCAGTTTCCCTTTGGAAAAATAGTGCACCGAGCCAAACAGCTTTGATGGAGTTTGGGGTACTAGATCCATGGTATCGTCACAGCTTCTCATCCCAATCTCCCTGGGAGTGTCTTGATCACAGCACAGCAATCCCACACGTGCCCTGTTAGCCTAATTCCAAACATTCAAGGTTAGTGTTCGTAACAGATTGGAAAGGTTAGGAAGAATGGCCTGCATTCCACAATAAAGAACAGGCTCCTTCAAACAAAAGTTGCTTGCATGGTCCTTAAAAGAGTCTGTTTTTTCCTCAAGACAACAACCTGGATCCCATTTCAAGACATTGGAAGAGTATGTATTCAAAACACCCTCTCAAATATACATTCCTAAAGAAAAAAGAAAAATTGACAGAGTGTTTTTTAAAAGCCTCAGTTTTTAGCATTCAAAACCTATTGCCCTCAAGTCCTACTAAGCCACATTCCTTGATGACAGTTACATATGTCAAGTCTGCATAAGAAAACAAAGCCTGTTTGTGTTGTCCCGCTACTGGAAAAAAACCTTCTGAAAAACGCCTTCCTTGGTGAAAAAAGCTTTCACATGCCCATCTGGGTAGCTCAAAGATGTAATCAATTCTTAATTAAAAGATCTGACTGCCAACACAAAAGAAATTGCTTCTTGGCCAAGACCAAATACAAGAAACCTCAGGCCAAAAGGTCCTATTTTGAAGATAAAAATAAAGGAAGAAGGGGGCTTTCGAAGAAGATGCTGCCTCAACCTAAGGAAAATTAAGCACTCCCTCACTGTTACCAGGCAAAACAATAGTAGAGGATGGACAAACAAGCTGTTGTGGTCAGCACTGGCTCAAGGGGCTCGTAAGGATTTGCCAGACCAGTGACTAACACACAATCCAGCCAGATACCGCGTTGCTTCCCCTCCTTTGGATACAGATGCCCACACAGAGCACCTGACAGTCTGCGCTGCCTTCTTCCAACATCACCCTCAGCAAAGGGAAGCCATGCCTGAAGCTGAATGCTCCTCGGAGCAAGGCAAGGAACTGAAAAAAAAAAAAAAAAAAAAAAAAAGCAGGGCACGCGTCCCGCAATGCTGCTTTACCGCAGGTTGTATGTCCTCAGGTTGCGCTGCCTGCGCTTCGTGGCGCGCAGTTTGACAAAGGTCCGGCCTGTCGGGTCAAAGACGCACAGCACAGTGATGCAGACGCTCAGGATGACAACCCAGTTGCACACCACCATTCCTGCAAAGAAAGAGAAGTCAGCTGCTCTGCCCTAAGTCTGGGCAGCATCGCTTCCTGCTTTTCACCACACACCTCAGACCCACCTCTCTCCATCGCTGCAGGGCAGAGAAAGTTACTCAAATACTCTTGCAGCCAGTTGCAGCAAAAGGAAATCCTCTGGAAAGGCTTCTAAACCACACCTAGATTTTTCCAGCTGTTTTAGGAGATTGCCCATGCAGAAGGCTATTAAATACTCATTGAGTATCTAGAGGGACTGCAACATCAGCATCAGCCCCCCCAGCAGACTGGCTAAGACTGAAAAGGAGTTCCAGGAAAACAGTAAAGCCATTCTGAACTGCAGGAGGAGAACCAGGCCTTACAGACTTTCCAGCCAGACCCTTCCACAGGAACATGAATTCTTGCCTCAGTGCAGACAGCACAAACAAATGAATAGAACAACTGTTCTGAGCAATAATGTCTCAAAAACAAGCACCACATTTACATCTACAATCCACTTCCAACAGTCAATCCCCACATGCATGAATGAATTAGCTCTCCGAGGCAAGAGGATGTCTGCACATACACAGGAATGCACACAAACCACATTCCAAATACATACCCAAAGTGACACTCTTTGCTGTCAGATCATCGCAGGAAGTGTAGTACTGCGTTAGCCAAACGATGCCCACAATAGCATACACAAACTCAATCACCAAGATAGCTGAAACAAAAGGAACACAATGGATAGTAGCAGCATCTCTCCAAGGATTAATGACTACCTCTCCCCATCTTTTGGAGAGGAAACCCAAAGACAGGTTCTTCAGCAGCACAGAGTAAATGACTGCAGGACTGGGCCCAATGAGTTGGAAGGTGATATTCAGGAAAATGGAACCAAAAACGTAATGTGTCCTTAACACTAACTACTCCTAAATGACACAAGGACCACAAAGTGCACAGAGCTGTCAGTGCCCTTGGCTGTATCAGAGGTGTGAATCAGATAGCCACTCTTTCCACCCACAACAGTGGAAAGAGTCCCTTAAGTAACAAGAATCACCATGTAACAGTACCTAGGCCTTAACCACCTCAGACAGCTGGCCCGATTCAAAGATGTGAAATAAAGAGTAGTGTGTATCCAGGATTAATTCTGCTTACTACACCTGCAAGTGTTCCCAGCAACTCTGCCCTTTGCAGTCCTTCCAGCAATAGTTCCCAGGACACAGTCCTTAAGGAGGCACTTACTGGCTTCTCAGTCTTGCATGTTACCCTGGTAATGAACAAGAAACTGGGGATTAACTGGTTCCCCAGAACAAAAAAGTTGGGAAACACTGCTCTGAAGTGCCCATCCTCACACTTAATTTACACGCTACAACCCTAAAGTACAGGTGAGCAAATAGGTATGGAGGGGTTAATTAGCTTGCTTAGTAATGCCCAGCAAGCCTTTGGTGGAGCTGAGACTAAATCCAAGTTCCAGCCTAGCCAACTAACCATCCACCCTCCTTATCTACACATTTGCCCAGTAGCTTTCCACAGGTGACTCACTACAGACTCTCACTAGCCTGGAAAGGCCAGTTCAAAGAGACACATAGCAAAGAGTCTTCAACAGCAGTGACCAAGGAACCAGGGCTGGTCCTGGTTCCTGATCAGCCCAACCCATGTTCTCAAACTGAGCTAGGCTTTGCCTACCTTGGCTTATCTCCCCCTCTGAGATTACCTGCTGCAGGATAGGAGCATCAGCAGCACAGATGAGACTTTCCTGAGCTCATGTTGGAACTCTTTCCCTAGATTCATCTGCACTAAACAGCACATGCTTAAAATGGGACAGTCACATGGACCTTGCCCACACAATGGTCACACTCCTGTTTCTATCATCAGAACTGATGAAGCCATTAAAAGTAAAAAGCCCCATGAAACAAGCATATACAAGACCCAAGATACAGTGTAAATACAGATCCTGAACACACGTTTAAGGCAGACAAGGAAGAAAAGTGGACGATTCTTGGGTAGGAAAATGGCTCTTTGGATTCTCTCTACCCCCCTTGCCCCATTTAGTCTGGTTTTAATACAGTGCTTCTCAAACTGTCAGGCTCTACGTGCTTCCCCAGGGAGACTGCAGTGTGTCTGGGAAACTGGAGAGAAAGATTTGTTTGCTATTCATGTTAATGATTTGCACTTAGCACTCAAAGGTGGAAATGTCTCCCAGACAGAGCTTTCAAGCAAGGTTACCCTTATGCCAGTGAATTCTGCATGAAAACAATCCAGCAAAAACAGAGATGCAAAAACATGAGAAGCTTTGTTTGAAATGGGCTTGGCTCTGCATCTCCAAAAGATTTTTCTCTTAAAAATCTTCACTCAGCACAGGAAAATCTGACCAAGTTTCTGTGCCTAGAAGACAACTGAACAGAGGAGGGAAGACAAGCTAAAAGGGAAGCCCTGAATGAGAGATCAAGGAACAATTGCTTTTCCAATCTAGTTCTTGGTGGGTGAGTGAGAAAGGAAATGTTTTTAAGAAAGACAAATATGCACTCTAGGAGAGAGGATGCAACCTGCGAGCAAGTGGTAAACCTATTTATCTCATGGTGCCTGGAGGTGGAGTATCAAAGTGCAGGTTGCTGGACGGAAAGTGCATCACATGTGAGTCAAAAGGTCAAGTTTATGTCTCAAGGTAGGTGAGTGTAGATTTAAGTGTCTGTATGACAGGCAAGGACATGCACATGCCTCAGGGTCAGAACCATCATGATTTAGAGTCATATGCCTGTATCATAGGAAAATGTGGGGAAAAAAGGTGGGGGAGAGGTGTAGATGCATCTCACTGTGGCAGATCTGTGTTGCAAGACAGAAGGGGAGCATATTTTTTTAGAGGAAAGGGATGTACCTGCATCGCAATGAGGATGACAAGTTAAAGGTTTGCTAGAAAGATATTTGGGGCATTGCATGAGTGTCTTACAGCAATGACAGGGTGCAGTATATGTGATGTATTCAGATGCATATCACATACAAGTGGCCATCTGGATGTCTTTCAGAAGCTGTGTGTTTGTCAGGGTGTGGGGAGAGAAGTCTTCTGCGATAGCAGATGGCAGTGTGGAGGCTGAGTCATTAGGAGGCCTCAGGCCCCTGCCTCTTACCCAGTCTGACATAGAGCACATACTGCATCGAGTCCCGGGGCTCTGTGTACAGGATACTGCCTCGCATGCTGAGCCAGATGATTGCCACCTCTGCGATCATACAACTGAGCAGGATGCCCAGGTAGCCTCTGCCGTGGTCCACCAGGTTAAGCGAGCAGGTCTCGTTGGGGTTGTACACCAGCCCAAAGAGCACCACAGAGAGGATCACAAACCTGCCAGTCACAAACCAGCTTGTTACCACCAGTAAGCCAAAGAAAGCTGCACGTAATATCCCACACCTGCTCTCCTCACAAAGCTACTGAGGATCCTCAGTGTCCCCGCAGCTACTTACAATAAATATTATTTTGGTCCAGAAATCTCCTCCCCACAAGCCATCCAGAGGCCCTGCTACCCCAGTCAGAACAATCTGATGATCTCTGTCAAGCCACATTATCCCATAGGATCTGCCACTCCAATTGTTTTTCCTGAGCCCCTGTACAGAAACATAGCCCCAAACTTCAGCAGACAACCCTGGGTAGCACTGGAGGATGCAAGGAGCTCTGGTCAGGCTCCCTCTTTGGAACTGGAACTAGAACTTAGAACAGAACTTAGCCAAAGAACCAGAAGCTGAAAATATGTTGCTGTCTGTCAGAAATGCCCCAAACAAGCCTTCCAGCTGCATGTATAAGCACAGGAAGAATTACAGCTGCAAGAAACAGGAATAGCAAAAAGAAATCATGGGAGAATTCAAACCATCATTCTGCCTTTCTCACTTACCAGGTGGTATGCAGGAGGAAGAGGAAGACGGCTGGCAAAACCAGGTCATCGCTGCCTACAGACCAGCGACGGCGGAACACGACAATCCCTGGCATGGCTAGCAGGTCTGAGGAAGTTCAGCAGGCACGACACTCACCTCCTGGAAAAGAGCAGAATGAAAGATGCTGCTGACCCTCTTCAACCCCCTCAGGAGAGCCCCACACCAGCTGAAGGACTGCACCTGAGAGCTATCCTGTTTTACACCAAAGATGGCAGAGCTTCTTCCTTCCAGCACCAGGGGGCACGGCATGCTTGAGCAGGAGAGTACAGGAGAAGAAGGTACACTTGAAAGAGTGGGAAGTATTAGGTGAAGCCGGAGTGTAACTCCCCAAACATAATTACCACTCTCCCAGCTCCACTTCACAAGATTACCTGGAATCTTGTTAGGGCTGCATGTTGGTAAGCGGACACTGCCGGGTGTTTTGGACAGGTTATACTGGCCTCAACTCTAAAGAAGGCCCTACTACCATGTTCTTCCACAGGCACACCTGCCACCAGCCTCTTTCCTTGTTGTCCAACAGTTCCCTCCCTCACTTGGCTCGGCAAGCCAAAATACCCATTAGCAGTTAGTGGCAGCATCTGGGGAAGCTATTGACTGGCTCCCAACAGCAAGCACTTTGAGCTGGGGGAGCAAGCTCCCAAGAGATCTCTCACTTGACCATCAGTTGCACAGAAGCACCCCGCCAGCTCCACCTCTCCTTTGTGTTCACGCTGGCCCTGACAGGCACTAACAATTAAAAGGTCGAAGATTGAGGAGCTGGATGTTCCTCCTCACATTTTGTTTGTACTCCTATTTTTAAAGCTTCACAAACCCTTTAAAAAAAGAAACAGCAGTGGTGTAAGTCACGAGACTCCACAGGGCTATCCACACACCTCCTCCCAACACAGCTCTCCCACACCATTTCAGCTCTGCTGTACACACTCCAGCCTGCTCCAGTCCAAGTCCACCGCATTAGAGCGGCTCAGTCCCCTTCTGCAGCACACCCCAGCTCCCTTCTCCATTTCTCGCACGACACACTTCAACCACGACCCACGTGTCATCCTGTTTGGTTTTGTCAAACTTTGGTTTCTGAGATCGTGTCTATGTGGTCTGCCCACAGCCACCTATGATCTCCTGACTGCAGCAGTCGTTCCTGTCCCTCTCTTCCATGCCCTAAACCCCATCACACTTCTCACCTCTACCCTCCTGCAGACTGGGGGACACCACACATCAGCCTCTGCCTTTCCCCTCCAAGCCACCATCTCAAGAGTGCCAAGTTCTCCCAACTGATGCATCTCAGTTCCAAATCACTGTGCTTCTCCTATTCTAACCCCACCAACCTCCCAATCTTCATGTTCACGCACTGCTGCTGGAGCTCTCCATCCACAATATGCAGTGACCACACTGCTCCAGAGCTGCATCTCCAAAGTAATAACTGCTCTTTGTACTGATCTGACAATTTGCTGTTAGGGTCACAGAGGCACAAATCAAAATGTTCGCATTTGTTACTTATGGTGTAATCAGGATTTCCAACAGCATTTCAGAGGGAGTATCAGCTGCCATACCTCATGTACCAGAAAAAAAAAAAAAAAACAAAAACAAAACAAACCAACCCCAAATCAAACTTGTATATGATGTCTCTAATTCAGTGTTCGGAGTAAAAAAAAAAAAAAAAAAAAAGCAGGAGGAGCGACATGATCACATTTAAACTAATTTGAACCTTCAAAGTAACACAAGTGTTGGTTTTGTGACAGACCACAGGCTGTATCACAGCACTGATTGCTGCAGTAACAGAAGCTGGCCTTGTCCTACTAAAACCTCTTCTTCACCAGTCAGGTGTGGTCACCCCATCACTTACCTACTGCGCAGAACACCTCAAAGCAGAGGCATCTTCCCCCCCACACCCCATACCAACACCCCAGCCAGTGGACTAGACCTTCCTACCCGTTTCAGTCACCAAGTATTGAAAACCTACACAAATCTTTCACACTTTCCGGGAGATTCCATAGTTAACAGGCTGACACACTTCCAGTACGTTACTCACTTGGGTGAAGGAAACACTCTATTCCACAAACAAAGCAAATGTGAAATTACAACACCATTTGGATTCACACTTCCCTAGCACATAATAATCAGAGCACTCAGTACATTGCAGCTCTACCTTCAAACTGCTCACTCCTCTGGCCATCTGGCAACTCCTTCTAGCCTTGCCGTGCATAACCCACCTGTCACGTGCTGCCCGTACGAAGTACTTATATCTTGAATATTGCTAAGCCTGCCCCAGTATATGTGGATACACTTTCCAGTGTGTTCATTCACGCTGCCTCTGGCCACCGCAGCACCTCCCAGCCAAGCTCAGAGCTCAGCTCCCATCATCCCTCGGCTTACGGCTGCATCCCGCCAACGCACTTTCCACAACTCTTCCACCTCTCCAGACACAAGCAGTTGTGCTCTGCCTGCTCTCACCACCCTCTGCCAGTCTAAGAGGCAGGGTATCGGCAAGAGCAGCAAACATGTAATGCGAATTCCTTATCCACAGCAACAGATGGGGATGGAGCAGAGCAGCCTGTCACTCACTGTCACACATGAGAATACTCACTGTGGGACTGTCACTCCTAGCTGTATGCTTATCAGGCTCCCGGTGCACTGCAGAAAGAGTCCCAATTAATTTTCACAGACTGTCTATTGAAAATCTAAACCGTGAGGTCTGGGGCCTTGTCCCCAGTTTGGAAAGAAGGGAGATTATAGAAGGCCTGGGACTATAAAGCCCACAAAAAACCAAACATATAAAGCTCTCAGTGTGCAGACTCTTTGGCTTCATCCCAGGGTAGCAGATCCCAGGAATTACATTTTAACTGGAAGATATGATCTAGCACATGAATTGCGAGCAAAGTGGAAGGTCAGAGTGCAAACAGCCCTGAGACCACTGACCCTAGTTTCGCAACAACAAGCACCCCTTATACTGCCCCTAAAATTGCTGCAAAGAGTGAAAAATTCGCAGAACCTTGAAACCTGAACCCCAGTACAAGAAGCCCCAAGTTCCCAACCCTGAAATTAGGGGGAAGCACATGCAGGCACAAGCTTTGTCTGCCAAGGAGTCCAGAGCCCTTCACCCTCAGATCAGAAAAAGGTCTATGGAAGCAGAAATCTTACATGGCATGTGGTCCAGCTGCTGCACATTCTTCTCTCCCACAAAGGTATTTCAGGAAAAGTGCATATCCACGGAGACAGACATCACAAGCGAAGGAGGGAACAGCAAACTCTTCTTGCAGCCATTGAAATTCCCACTCGGCAAAGGGAAGGACGGTGTGGTGACTGCCTGCCGACAGAGCCCGGCATCACCTTCAGAGCAACTCCCTCCCCTCCAAGACAGCAACCTCATTTATTCATCAGGGCTGCTGAGAGCCACCGAGCCAGGGGTCGTGACTCCCCCCTTCCACACCCCCGGCACCCTCTCGAAGGAAGTGACATCATCCCTATTCTGAGGAGATTGTATGTGAATTGTGGGAAGGAAGACTGGGAGCGAGAGCGGGCGATGCTGTCAGAGATGCACAGAGAAGGAAAACCCTCCAGCAGCAACTGGAGCGGCACAAACCTCCCCCTCTTGCTGCCCAGCAGCCGGCAGGATCGGGAACGCTGCGGCAGCAGTTCGGGTTTGTCCCAGGGCCCCGGTTGTGCACGGGAAGCCCTTCGGCTGCAGCGGATGGCATCAGGGCTGGGAAAGGCTCCGGGCCGCTGGTCTCTCCTCTGGCATGTACTGAATGGCCAGGGGGATGGGAATTGGATGGGACACAAAAGGGGCACAGAGAGGGGGCCACCCCGGTCACAGAAAGGAGAGACTGTTCCAGAGGAGCAGCCTTTCCCGGGCCTTTTCAGCCGTTAATTCCTTGTGACATGCTCTGGGGTATGACAGGATGTGGGGGAAGGGGAGAATTAGCTGTCTGTAGGGGAAGGCTTAGAGAAAAGAGCAAAGGAGAAAAATGCTACAGCGAGACAACATTCCAGCTAAACCTGGGAGATTTAGTCTAATCCAACATCCCATCACATCTGACATTAGCCTCAGAAGAAGGTATACAAGTAAATACAAGCTGAACGCAGCCATAGCTGAAGGAAAAGGGCTGTGAGCAGATCTTGCACCACAGGAGACCACCTACACCACGCCAACACCCTGGGAGACAATCAGCTACTCCCCACCATCCAAATCCACAAGCAGGATTTGCTTTAAGCTCACAGCATCACGCAGACACCTGAGGTACATTTGCACCCACACAGCCCAACACGCTAACCCCCTGCAAACCCTCACCCCTGGATCCACAAGGGCTTGCAGACTCGCTCAGCATCCCAACCTCGATCACCCAAAAACCTCCTCCTGGTCCCCACTCAACCTCCTGCAGTTCAGACCATTACTTGCTCTTGCTGTCAAGCAAAAGATGGGAGGCCAACACCACCCTGAAATCAGATCCACCAGTGCCAATAGTTCCTTCTCACTTTGAGAGACCACCAGCAATGTCTGCACAGAGGCATTAGCAGGAGGAAGCCCTGCAAGCCCAGTACATTCATCACCTCCCTCTGCCGTCAGCCCGAGATGGGGACCTGCTTGCAACTTCACACAACCCAGGTATGAAAAAGCAATCCCATCTCATTTGTGTTTTGTATCTGTCAGCATTCAGCTGATCTCCCCAAATTCAGCCCCAACTCTGTAGAGTCCTACAGTACTATTCATCCAAACACCCTCAAAATAACTATTCAAAGCCCAGCAACCAGACTTTCATCTGCACTGCTACAGGAAGCCCAGAAGAAAGAGGGGGATTTCTAGGTCTTAGCTCTGTAGATGGTTGCAGGAGTCACTACAGGACAAAGCCCTTTGCTGTTTCGCAGAAATCCAGCGATATGTACCGGCACGCTGATCCTCCCTGCTCCTGCAGGACTGGTCGAAATGCCACCGTGTTCCCAGGGAATGTCCCAGCCCCAACCTGCCGGCCTGCTGAGAAGCCATAGCCCGGGACTGCCAGCTCTCAGATCCAGAGAGCTAGAGCCACTTAGGGAAAATCCATCTGGAAAACTGAAACAAAATGAGCTTTGTGTCCCGGCAGCTCAAACAGCAGCATTTCCTGGGGGGTTATTTTCTGCTCCTCCACTTGCCTGTGCTCCCAGAGCAGAGGCACTTCTGGGTGCATCGGCTTCTCTTCCCCCTGACAGCACAGCCAGGTCACCTTGCCCGTGTATCCGGAGATGCTTGTCCTGAGGGCACAGCAGCCTGGCTCGAGAGCCCCAAGGGAACAATTGGGGCACCTCCACAATAAGCCCCGAGAGCCACCTGAGTAGCCCAGGCAGGCCCAGGACAGTGTCTGAACACAGCCGGATTAACTCCATCCAGTTCAGTCCTCCAGAACTGCCTTCTGCCTCCTACCACACGAGATGGCAACTGCAAGAACTCCTCCACAGCACGGCACAACCTTCCTCATCTCCTACCAACAGACCCACATTCTGTCCCTTGCCCTTATACCTGCATTTCACCTTTCTGGAGTTATTTATTAGAGCTATGGAAGCTCTCTGTATTTCTTGCAGATGCCAAAGTGGTTTTATGCTGAAGTGAACTAAAAAAGCGACATTTTAAAACAACGTTTGTCAAATTTGAGTGACCAAAACCAACATTCAGCATGCTTAACCATACAGCTCCTGACCCTTAAAGATCTGCCGGTCCATAAAACACAAACCCTTCCCCTGAAATAGCACTTTGCTAACAGATAGGGTTCCAGCCCCATCAAGTCGCCCCAACCTATATCCCACATCCTTCCTTTCCTCACAGGCATGTCCCAAATGGGACACAGGCTTTCTACCCCAGGTTGAGTCCTCACCCCTGCAGTTTACAGAAACCTACTGTTCCCATGAAGCATGTCCTTCTAGAAGCACTTACTGTACTTGACGGAAATCACCAATTAGAACTTGGATCAAACTTCATCAGTCCTCATCCAGCTATTTTTAAGGGCCTTAGATGAAGCTCTTTCTGTTTCTGAGCTTGGTTCCTCACAATCTGGGAATTGTTCTTCCCTTGCAAGGAGAAGGGGGGATGTGGTTACATCCATACAAAATATCCTGAAGCTGGCTAGGAGGCATTTGCTTGCCTGTGCCTGCACATATACAAACCCATCTCTCCTCCAGCACCTCTTGCAGGTCCCAACGTGCAGCGTGAACTAGACAGCAAGGTCTGCTGCTGCATATCTCCCCTGTACAATTTACTCATAACAACCGTTAGCAAGAAACAGCAGAAAGATGAAAAAACTAATATCCTAATCTTCAAAAAAGTGCCCTTCCAGAGTGGGAGTATCTCAGAGCATCTTATAAGAGGGAGGAGTACCTACTCAACATGCACAGTGTGGAACAGAGGCTCGTAATAAAAGGTGGGGACAAATGAGACAGCACCAAAGGAAGATGAGCCCTTCTAAGCCAGGGTTGCCTTTTACAAGTGGCAGAAGGTCTCTACCACAAGAGATGCCTGCAGGAATCGCAGTTAAAGCTCCTTCCCTGGGGGGTAGATGGTACAGCAGCTGCCAGGAGGTTATGAGGATAGTTCTAGCATGACTGACTATGATTAAGGGAACAGATCTGCACTTTCAAGAATGTTGTATGTATTAATGTAACATCTATTTACAACCAAGCCACAGACCGCTCTGCACGGGTGAGGAACACTGGCAAAAATCAATGGGGTCTTTAATTTGGGAATTCCAATTTCACACCTACTTTTAAAGACCCTCCTTTAGAGTCTCCCATTTTCCAAGGAAAAGGAAATGAAATGAAAGACAGTGCCAGAGCCATTGGACTAAGCCATCGGGTTTGAGAAAGGAAAGGTTCAAAAAGCCTCCTGTGGCTTAGCACATTTCAGATGCAGCTCCCCCAGGATAAGGCCACTGCATCACGATCGTCTCACTACAATGTCATCATTCAGAACTAATATGATTAGGTTAGATCTGGAACTACAACGCTGCCCACTGACACAAATACCCAAAATACATCTCACAGTATAAACTGACCTTCAAAACCCAGGGGACAATAACTTACCTGTGTGTCCCACCAGCTTAAATTGTAAATGCTGGCATAAATACACCCATGGAAGTGTGATGGTGATGGTCACAGGACTATACGGTAGTAACCAGGACAGACTACTGGCCAGTTAGCCCAACACTGGCTCATCCCCATCTCAGCTTATTCCTCTACAACATTTTTTCACAAAGCCCCTTTGCCTCAGGCAGCATAAACACATCAAGATGTTTTTGAAGTGCATGTGCTCCTTGCTTAAACCCATCCCCTTTGTCCTTTACTCCAAACACCTCTTGCCTTGGGTAGAAATAGCTCTCACGAGTCTCACACTATCTTCTAACACAGACAACATCTTCTACCTGTTACCTTCTTGAACCTTCCAGCCTTTCAATTTATACCCTTGAATTTCAAAAGCCTCTTATCAGCGTTTTTCTTAAATGGTCCCTCTTCTCTCAAGGAAAAAAAAAAAAAAAAAAATCAACTCTCAAAACCTTACTACTAACACAGAAGATTTAGTATCACATTTGCTATTCACTCCAACCTGGTTATTTTCCTGTAAAATAATGCTGTGCACAACCCACCACAAAGGGTCCAACACTGACGTATCACCTGCTCTTGAGCAACAGTACAGATAATCCCAGGTAGTCTAAGACATTAACTGAGATGTCAAAAATGACAAGTATTTTTAAAAAGAGATGCTACCATTGAAATATTTCAGTCATGTTTTTGGGCTCTGCACACGAAGGGTTCAAGTTTTCAATCATTTTTCTGCAACTGCAAGGATTAGTACTTTTCCCCATCTAACAACAACATGAGAGAAAGTGATAGTTTAAGAAAAAAGCCAACAAATACACTGCAAGGTGGCAACACCCACTTGCCTCCATTCACTGGAGTCACTGGCAAACATGTGATGTGCAAGGGGAAACCAGATCTAATTCTCACCTTCAGCCTGTGACAGTAGCTCATCTGCTTTGGGAGAGCTGGCTAGCCATACCACTGCTGCCATCAGGAATAAAGCTATTCTTTGCAAAGTTGAATACATTTTCTGAATTATTAATTTTTATTATAGAGACACCAGAACAACCGATGTATCTGCTTGGCATGTACTTGTCCACAGTGGTGGTGTTTTCAGGAAAAACGTATTCTTGTTTTTAGTGCAAGAGACTGGAAAGGTCCTAAGTAGAGTTAAATGATACCAACACACTGCTTATTCACAGCACTTGTTCACAAGTTAAAGTAAGAAAAAGGATCCCTTGAATTAAAGAGAAAACAAAGAAATTCTCTACTTTGGAATATGCCTCCTCCCATCAGCTGGTATCAGTTCAGAGCCTGTTCCCAGGGATCACGGTCCTACAAACCAATGACACAGCAGATCACAGTGGCTCCCTCCAGGACAATATCCCCCAACAGCCCCTGCCTCACAACACACAAGCTGAACACTGCTATCCTGGCAGCACTCAGCACCCCTCTCAGGAGATGAGTACACATTTCCAGCAAGTGCACTTAATAGGTGGATTTGCCAAGGTACCGACTACCTTAGTTGCGATAAGACGTGCGTATAAATAGGACAAAACCAAGCTAGCAGGAGCTGTAGTCTCCCCCTTTTTTTTTTTTTTTTCCCCCCAGCTGGGATACTCCACAGGCCAGGATTTGTCCTTGGGCAAAAAGGAAGAAGTTTGTAGGGATAAGCACAATCCTCCTCTTAAAAGGACATTTATTTTAGTACATGAAGACAGTGATCACCGTGAAATATTTCAACTGCCCAAATTAAAGAATAAGAGCTGAAAAGGGCCTCACCCTACAGCTCCAAGATTACTAGTACTTTTCTCCTTGACCTCAGTAGGAACACAGTTTAACTCCAAGCTTCATACTTGTCAGACTACAGAAAATTAAGTCTTCATGAATAACTGGTCAAGAAACAACAGCAGTTGACAGATAAGCTTACCTTAAAATGAGCCAGTTTATTGAAAACCTAGGAGTGGAGAAGGAGCACAATCCGAGTCTGCTGACACTAATTTAGTTAAAAACAACACCCAATCGTTGTACCAATGCCGACATATCTGCAACCACCTACATTTTGTGCTAGCAAAGCCCACAATCTGAGCTTTCTGACGATTCCAAGCTCGAGCAAAAATAATGTCCAAGTTGCTAGGGGGAAAAAATGTATTAAAAAGTGAAACTAATTTTGTATTTTAATTAGAACTTGCTGTTCTACAGGGTAATAAAATCTGCTAATGTTTAATAGTCAGCAACCAGTAACAAGAAAAGCTTGTCTTGAATGGGGCAGAGAAAGGATGTGGCAAGATAACATTCAGATGAGTTGACTTAAGGCTGTAGATACAGCAAGAACCTCATTTTCAAAAATGCGGAGCAGCTGGGCACCCCAAATCTGACTGCCATCAGCAGGCAATGCAAACAACCCTGGTCAACCCACGCTCACATATGTGGTAGAATAGTTAATTTTTCCTGGATACAATTATTGGGGATCAAAGTTCTTTGGTTTTGTTGTAATATACCACGGCTATATTCAAAATTTGTTAATTCATGGTTGTAAACCACACAACCATTAATTTGTCTATAGTAAAAATAACAAGGGCTGGATTAAGTCAGCCAGGGCAGAATGAAGTGGTAAATGGTACTTACGAAAGGAGTATTTCAGATGTAGGTGACTGGTGCCAATCTGACAGCCTCATTTCTTTAGGCAAGCTATTTTTCACTACAATATTGGCAAATTCAAATCTGTCAGTTTTACTCCACCCTGGAATGCTTATCAGATCAGCCACCTTAAAAAAACAGAAAAAAAAAAATCAGGAGGAGCATATTTCAAGGTGAAAATAAATATATTCAGCAATGTATGCCTGCTACAGCTATTCTTGAAGTGACCTGCCTTCAGGAAGAGACAGGACGGCTCCGGTCACACCAAAAAGTAATTGCCTCTCTACAATAGCACAGGCAGGCTCCCTGGCTTCCTAGTTTATGCTAGTGGGCAAACAGTTTTCCCAATAACTTGACTCATTGCTTCAGGAATTCCCTAGAGGATGAGTCACATACAGGGAAAGCCACCAGTCATTCTACGGGAGCTAAACGGACCACCGCTGCCAATATGAGAAGAGTGAAAGAAGTGGGAGAACAGAAGATCAGTGCCAAACTCGGGAAAACTGTGCGGTCAACACCACTCCTTGGCAGTCCTTCCCTGCTCCCCTCCCCAAAAAGCGTGCCGGCGAGCAGAAGCACACCCGTTCAAGCAGCAGAAAGGCAGCACCAGGCTCCCGAGTGGAGGGAATCGCTGTGGAGCCGTTTCCGCCACGTGCAAGTGCCGGGACAGAAGGAGGAAACGCTGGCTCTGCTCACATCCAAGCACTGCTTGATACAGGAAGGGAAGGTGTCTCTGGAAGGGGAAGATGTTAAAGAGTTAAAACCAGCGCCTTTTCTCCCTCCCCCCTAGCACTGAGGGGATATAATCAGGAGTAATAGGGGCACATACAAAATTTCAGGGCCTCTAGCTTCTTACGCTGCATTGCAACCTCCTGTTCACCAAGGTTCACAGATCACGCTTCTTTTTCTGCTTCACAACCCACTACAACTTATCCTGTGATTTTCCCTTTGCTCACATCCCATTACTGAGTGGTTAGGCAGGTATACGCCCAGTTACAAGTCAAAAATGCCAAGAATCACTGCTATGTGGCAAGCTCTTCTGCAAACAAAACTCTAATGCACCTTTTCTTAATACAATTTGTAATCATTAAATGTGGATGCTAACTATGTGAAACCACCAGGCTCAACTATATTGGAAACTGGCTTCACACAGTCCAACCCTTACTTCGATACAATCTGTTCTCATTTTACTGGTGCTGCCTGTTTATTTCAGTGATTTCCCTCAGTCATGTCCCTGATGATGGGACCCTGGGCTGGCAGCCCTGTTTCTAATCAAACATCTGGCCCCTACATTGCTCCTCTGATCTTTTTTACATTTGCACTAAAATGTATCTATTGATCTTGTCAGACAGCTCCTGCCTCTACCTGGGCTCAGATTGCCAACTTCTGCTTCATATTCTTTGGGCAAGGACATTCCTGTTTCTTACATTCCTAGAAATCAGACTGCAAAGATTGGGTTGTCAAGGTCATACACCCCAAAGGCCGTGCATATTGTGTCATGTCCTTAAATCACCCAGCATGAGATCTGAATTTAAGATCTCTCTCTAGCTTACTGGAATTACTCAATTAAGCTGTCGCTGGTTTTCCATGTCATTCACCACTAAGGATCACTTCTTACAACACGCAACAAATTGCCCTTTGCTAACTGTACTCCCACAAACAGCCCTGCAAATGCAGTTCGCCTGTTTTACAACTGTCTTTTAACGGGTCACTCCAAACCCATGAAGTCCTAGAAGCCCACCTCTCCTACCAGCTCCCCATAATCCCCAATCCATTTTCTTCCAATGTTCTAATCAAACTCCCAGTAGACAGACATCAACACATTATTCCAGGGGCCCACCTTGTTCTGCAGCAGTATTTCAGAGAGTGAGTATTCCCAAGTGCTATGATTTCCCCAAAAATACTATGTCTGTATTTCACTGTAAATGTACATCTGCCTTCTCCCGTTACACCCCAAACCTTCCCAGGTTCCCAGTTTCCAATAGCTTATTCCTCCCAAGAGCATCGGCCTTGCACTTTATTAGGCAGAATCTCTTCTATTTCTTGCCCACAACCCTGCATTTCTTAGAGCCTTCACTGAAATTTAAGCTAACTGCCTGCAAGCAGGAGTTCCAGTTATTCTTGCAAACACATTTAATAAAAAGAGAACCTAAAGCAACATTTATGGCACCCTATTTAGAAGCCTAACTCTACATTGCTATTGTTCCCTCTCCTCAGTAGAACTCTGACTTCACAGAAGTAACGTCAAAAAAACAAAAAAATCACCCTGAATCCATTTTTTTCCAACAAGATCTTGTGAAGTCTAATAATCTAAAATCCAGAGGACTGCTGCTTTCCAGAGGAGGGCTTCTCCTGGCACCAACCCAGGCCACATGCCCATATCGTGGAGCATATCCACTTTCACTCGAATGTTTACCCTGGGGCATTAATGAAGCAAAGTAATGAGCTCTAGCTGGTGAAGGATGTGTGTGTGGCTCAGGACGCATGAACACATGCACAGGTAGGCATTTTTACCAACCCAAGTGTCAGCACAGCAGTGACTACCTTTAACATACACCCCACATAGCGTAAACACCATGTGTGTTTGCTAAAATCCTATAGCAGAGAATTGTGACTTTCAACTCGGAAATCTCCTTGACTAGAGTAATATCACTTACACATACACACTGTAAGAGGCTTTACAGCATGTGACAACAGAGCATTGCCACCGTCTGTCACAGAAACACAGATATTAACCATCTGTATCTGTACACTGACCCTCTGCTGTTCTCAATCCATCACTTTGGGTACTCAAAAGAAAGCTTTTCAGATTTTAAAGGAAACAGGCTTTCAAGGTAAACAACAGTAGAACAGCTTTGTATTGACTAACATGCTTTTCTTATCCTAGACAAACCCAAATTAGTACAGATTAGAATCTTAAAAAGATTTTTCTATTGCTCCTAAACTCTAAGTGAACATTTAAAACCTAACTTTGAATTTTCAGATGCTGGCTTCTGCTGCTGCAACTTAGAAGAAATGTGGTTCCACCCCTCCCATCTCGTGGCTTCCACCTCAGTGCACGAGAATAGCCCTTGAAATAAAACAAATGATCAGGTTAAGTATTCCCAGAAGAAAAACCTTTCCTTATTCCTGCCTGGAGAACACAGTCTTCTAAAGAAAGCTGCCAGCTCTGACCCGGCTCATGTAAAGCTTGCTAATTACAGTGAAAATCTGAAGAAAGCAAAAGCAGGAGGGAGGGAGAGCTAGACTCCAGTTCTCCAGCTCACACAAATCACAGCTTGAGCAAAACTTTTCCTGCCTCAGTGGTTGCTGCTATAAATAACACCCTCCAGGGCTCAGTGCTGCTGGAACCCAAACCCCAGTCACCTCACAGAGCCCCCCTGAAGTCCGCACTGCCCTGCACACACCTGAGCTTTAAGAGCAGCCTCCTTCCACCGTCAGGCACACGACGACATGCTTCTACACACAGTTCCTCTCTCATATGTAGTCCCAGGCCTGCTAGCAGCAGCACCTTCCTGTGTTCAGAGCAGTCCTGTTCTCACACATGTGTGCTCAGCGTTTTCTGAAAGCCTCCCTTGTCTCTTCACCCAATCCTTTAGATTTTATGCATCTTTTCTCTCCTCTGGCAACCCACTCCCCCATTATTCTGTCACTCTCTTACTCCTTTTTCAGTCTCTACAGTTTCTGTGGCTTCCCGTGATGATATTGCTTTGCAGCCCTCCATCTATTTCTCCACAATTTTGTTGCTAAGATGCCCTGGAGTATCTTGAGACGAGCAAAGCTCCTCCTTCCAGCTGCTGACAGCTGTTCACCAGCCCAAAAGCCTCGTCCGTTAGGAGCCCAGAGGAGATCACTGAGGGAGAGTGCAGCGTGCTTGCAAGAAGTACAATCACCCACTGTTCCGCGCATGCAGCTCCAACTCCCTCTTGGCTTAGGAAATCAAGTCCCAAATTCAGACCCAGTGGAAATCAAATATGGGCAGTCCCCCTGTGACTTATCAGCTTGCTTTCCCTCTAGCTGCTTTCTCCAGCTGGTGCTTCAGCTAAAGCTGCTGTAATCACACACATGCAGCATTGCTGCAAGAGGCACAAGAAAGCAAACAGCACAGGTCCCGCATGTCTACATACCACCAACCACTGGAACGAGCAGACCAAATACTTCCTCCTCTTCCTAGAAATTCTTGCCTGTCCAGTGTTTCCCTAATGACACAGCAAGATAAAACTGAAATCCCAGGCTGAATGCTGCCGAGCTGAAGTAGCTAGACTCTTCCTGAATCTCAGATCTGGATGCGTATGATAGAAGGCAGGAATCCTATTTTCATTTTGCTTATATAAGCAAGGATGAATCAAGCCCAGGTTTCTCTGATCTTGTGTCATATTTAAGCCTTATATACATCTTCCCATAGCCCAGAGCTAAAAAGCCCTTCTCTTCAGACAAAGCCTCCATTAGCTATACTTCTAAACGCCAGCACACACATCCCTCCTCTGCAACACCCACGCACAGCACCTCCTGCACACACAAACAGCATATAATCTGCAGGCATAGCTCATCTGCAAAACCTCCAGGACCTGGGTGGCTGGGCCTTGCCTGGCAGTTACACAGCCCAGGCACCTCAACCCGCCTGGCCACTACCAAGTATCCCCCTCCTGCTGCTTCCCAGGGAGGGCCAGTAGACAAGCAGAGAATTCAGTTTCTAGCTCAGTAATTATTCAATTGAACAATGCCATTTTAGAAGATCTCCTACTTAAATTCTATCGCCATGTAGTTTTCCAGCTACGAGTCCTGCAAATAGCTCTTAACTGTCTTATATGCATTTATTCAAACTTTTTCCCTGTTCTGTCACAGAGCTTACATAGACAACTTCTGCCTATTTTTCTCTATGGGCTTATCTCTAGACCTTGGAGTTGGTATAGATAAAATAGATAATTACCATTGCGTCCTCTGCTCCCCAAATGTCTGACAAACTCAGTGCTACAGCTAGCACTGGCACACGTTCCTGTCCTCAGACAAAGTACCATACTTCTCATAAGCACTCCCAAGTTCTCACACTTCTTTCCTAACACCCCTCAATTTTCTTGAGGTGTCTCCTTGATATACTGACCATCTATAGCTTTCTACTCTACCTTAACAGCTCTTCTGAAATCCCAGTTGCAGGATACTTTCCAGCTGACTTTGCTTGGGCCTCCAACAGAAACAGCACATAAGGAGCTATTTACTGCTCACTGCTACTCTGGCTCCAGAAGGAGGTTATGTGACAGGGCTATATGAAGCAGACTGTCAGGATTACTGTATACTCCATATAAATGCATAGCTTGTAGCTCATTTTATAAGATCTCAACATAAGTAAAGTGCTTCTAGCCTGTCCCAAGGGTTGCCTTGATATTTTCCATGAAGCCACGTATATTTTTCTCCCTGTTGCCACCATCCTTGTTTCCATATATTCCTTGCTTACTCTTGTTCGTTAGCAGCTGCAGGAGAAGTCACTAAGCACATGTCAGTAGGACATGTCACATGTCACTACAAGGACATCATCACTACCATCTTGGCCACCCAGCTTTGCACCTAGAATGAGTTTAGCAAAGATGGGCAAAAACGAGGTGAAAGGTGGTGAGGCAGAAGCAGACATCGCACGTGACGAGAGCTGCAGCAGTAGAAATACCCTAAAAAAGCATTCCTTGGCTTCAAGCAGCTGTACAGACGTGAGCTGAAAAGCACAGATTGCAACTGTCTGTT